ACGCCTAGCGAACAGTTTTTTAAATTATATGAGAAAAAAATAATCAATTTTATTTGGAACGGCAAGCCAGACAAAATTAAAAGGGCATATTTATATAATGAATATGAATTCGGAGGACAGAAATTATTAAATATTAAAGCATTAGACCTATCACTAAAAGCTTCAGTCATACAAAAGTTATACTTAAACCCGAACTGGTTCTCAAGCAAATTAGTAAGATTGTCTCACCCAATGTTCAAGAAAGGCCTTTTTCCCTTTATTCAGATTACAACAACTCATTTGCAGTTATTTGAAAAGGAAATAATCTCCCAAATATCACTATTTCTAAAACAAGCCATAGAAAGTTGGTTGCAATTTCAATTTAATCCTCCAGAAACGACAGAACAAATAATGCAACAAATATTGTGGTTAAATTCAAATATACTAATTGACAAAAAACCTTTATTTTTTTACAGAATGTTTAAAAAAAGGTATAATCTTCGTAAATGATATCATCGGTAGGACTGGTGGAGTTATGTCGCACATGCAGTTAACAAAAACATATGGAAATGTCTGCTCTACCCAAAATTACAACCAAATAATTGCAGCCTTACCGCAAAAGTGGAAGAGGAAAGTGGAAGGGGGAGAAAGTAAGGAACTTGTCTGTCGGCCTTGCATTAAAGAACATAATTGGTTAAGGAAAACTGTGATAAATAAAAAAGTATATCAGTTTCACTTAAGGACCAAAGGATTGACAGCCGTCCCATATAGGCTGCAAAATAGTTGGGAAGAGATCTTTGACGTACCGATCCCATGGCATAGTGTTTATGAACTGACACGCAAAACGACTCCGGATTCAAAAATTAGAATCTTTCAGTTTAAATTATTATATAAAATTCTTGCTACCAATAGAATGTTATTTATATGGGGGATACAATCTTCCCAGCTCTGCAGATTTTGCTGTGAAGAGACAGAATCATTAGATCATTTGTTTTGGTTCTGTCCATTTGTAGCTTGTTTTTGGACACAGGTCCAGGAATGGCTAAAGGATTGTAATATTTACCTGGAGCTAACCTTGCAGATAGCATTACTGGGTGATCTGAAAAGTCATGGTCAATCAATCAATAATATAATAATACTTTTAGCAAAAATGTTTATTTTTAATTCACAATCTGTAGAAGCAATGAGAATAGAAAGGTTCAGAACTTTTGTAAAACATCACAGTACGGTTGAAATATATATGGCAAATAGAAATCCTATATGGATGGTGTTAAGAGATAGATGGGAGGTATTGAATAGAGTTGAAGGATGGGACTAATAACAAATAACAACAAATAATAACAAATATAGCTAATAATGTAAGCATGCTGTGTCCATAATAAGTATATAGGTTGTATGTTGGGAGCTTTTGGGAAAGAGCACAGTTAGAAAGATATGGCATATAGAAGCAAACCGGATGGACATCATGAAAATGATCGGAGAGGTTGAGAGTAGAAGAAGTTCAGGAGCAAAAAAATAAAAAAATAATATATATATAATAGAATTATTGTAAAATTAACTCTGTCCATAAGGTGTAAATAGTAAGTATAGATCAGAAGTAGAGGCCTGGGCATTGTTGTTCACTAATTTACTCCAAGTAGGGAAAGGATGGCGGGGTTGAAAAGTAATAAAGGGGAGTATATATATAAAAAACATGGGGGATTGGAAGTGATGCAGACTATTACATTGATAGAAGATACAATCTATCTGCAATATTAAGCTGATCCACCCCCCCCCCCAAAAAAAAAAATAATAAAATAAAATAAAAAAATAAGAATGACAGATCTATAACTTACATTTCTATGTGAATTTGGTCGGTCGCCCATAAAGTTACATATTGCAGCTTTAAAGGTGGGGAAAGGTGAGGAGGCAGGTGCTGAGAGAAATGGAGATCTGCTATTGCTCTAACTCTCTCTGCCCTCCTTCTCTCCCTCCATCTCTCTCTCTCTCACTCCCTCTCTCAGGTCAGTACTCTGAGACGTGTGATGGCTCCTCCTCCACCCTGACAGTGAACACCAGTGACATCACTCTGGGGGCGGAGCTGATGGAGGTCATGGTGTACAGGAAACGTGAGCGCAGGAAGTACAGCCCCCTGGCCACCGACAAGACCGTCTTCTTCGTCACAGGTGAATCCCTGTTTACACTTCATGTCTACTCCCCAAGCATCACTGGGACGGGTCTCAATCCGCAACCTTGCTTCCTCCCATCTACTATCGCTCCTTCCCCTTGTACATCTTATAGGACACCAAGCCCTTAGTCAGGTGGAGATTTAGCGCTTTGTTGCTTTCACTTATTCAAATCTTTTTAGACAGTTAAGGATTTTATGATTGGAACAAAGGCCGATAGTGTGTTCCAAAAGGCACCCTATTCCCTATATAGTGCACTACTTTTGACCAGACCCCTATGGGTGTAATGCACTGCACTCTTAGAAAAAAGGGTTCCAAAAGGGTTCTTCGGTTGTCCCCATAGGAGAAACCTTTTTGGTTCTAATTAGAACCGTTTTTGGTTCTAGGTAGGACCCATTAGGGTTCCATATAGAACCCTATGTGAAAAGGGTTCTACATGGAACCCAAAAGGGTTCTACCTGGAACACAAATGGTTATTCAAAGGGTTCTCCTATGAGGACAGCCAAAGAACCTTTTTAGGTTCTAGATACATTACATGCTCAAAAGTATGTGGACATCCCTTTCAATTAGTGGATTCAGCTATTTCAGCCACATCCGTTGCTGACAGGTGTATAAAATCGAGCACACAGCCATGCAAACGCCATAGACAAACATTGTCAGTTGAATAGCCCGTACTGAAGAGCTCAGTGACTTTCAACGTGGAACCATCATAGGATGCAACCTTTCCAACAAGTCAGTTCGTCAGATTTCTGCCCTGCTAGAGCTGCCCCGGTCAACTGTAAGTGCTGTGTGAAGTGGAAACATCTAGGAGCAACAACGGCTCAGCCGTGAAGTGGTAGGCCACACAAGGTCACAGAACGGGACCGCCGAGTGCTGAAGCTAGTAGCGTGTAAAAATCGTCTGACCTCGGTTGCAACACTCACTACCGAGATCCAAACTGCCTCTGGAAGCAACGTCAGCACAATAACTGTTAGTCGGGAGCCTCATGAAATGGGTTTCCATGGCCGAGCAGCCGCACACAAGCCTAAGATCACCATGCGCAATGCCAAGCATCGACTGGAGTGGTGTAAAGCCCGCCGCCATTGGACTCTGGAGCAGTGGAAATCGCGTTCTCTGGAGTGATGAATCACGCTTCACCATATGGCAGTCCGACATACGAATCTGGGTTTGACGGATGCCAGGAAAACGCTACCTGTCCCAATGCATATATTGCCAACTGTAAAGTTTGGTGGAGGAGGGATAATGGTCTGAGGCTGTTTTACATGGTTCGGGCTAGGCCCCTTAGTTCCAGTGAAGGGAAATCTTAACACTACAGCATACAATGACATTTTAGACGATTCTGTGCTTCCAACTTTGTGGCAACAGTTTGGGGAAGGCCCTTTCCTGTTTCAGCATGATAATGCCCCCGTGCACAAAGCGAGGTCCATACAGACATGGTTTGTTGAGATCAGTGTGGAAGTACTTGACTGGCCTGCACAGAGCCCTGATCTCAACCCCATCGAACACCTTTCGGATGAATTGGAATGCTGACTGCGAGCCAGGCCTAATCGCCCAACATCAGTGCCCGACCTCATTAAAGCTCTTGTGGCTGAATGAAAGCAAGTCCCCGCAGCAATGTTCCAACATCTAGTGGAAAGCCTTCCCAGAAGAGTGGAGGCTGTTATAGCAGCAAAGGGGGGACCAACTCCATATTAATGCCCATGATTTTGGAATGAGATGTTTGAAGAGCATACTTTTGGCTATGTTGTGCAGCTCCTTTTTTTTCCTAAGAGTGTACATAGCGAAAAGGGTGCCATTTGGGAAGCAACCATAGTCTGTCTCTCTTACACATCACCTGGTCCTTCCTCAGGAGGGATGCAGAAGTACAGAAGAGAATGTATAGCTGAATTGATGCATCATGTCTAAGCGTTTCTCGTTAACCTTTACCCCTTCACAGACAAGATCCCCGTGGCGGTGAATATTTCCCAGAAGGCAGCAGCCAACCTGTCAGAGAGCGTGTTTGTGCGTGGCGAGGACGTGGTGTTCAGTGTGTCGGTTCACGACCCCAGTAACTACCTGAAGACTGCCGACGCCGTCGACTACATCTGGGACTTCAAGGACGGCAACCAGCTGGTCACCCATAGCAACGTGGCCACACACACCTACAGCGCGGTCGGCGAAGTCAACGTGAAGCTGACGGTGGAGGCGGCTTTCAAGATCCCGTGCCCCCCGCCCACACCGATGAGTGTTACCTCGCAGCAGACTACAGGTACACACTCTTGAGTCACAGTTACACAAATCTAGAAGAAGGTATGTACATAGTACACACACTAATGAGCTTCACCTGCAGCGTACTACTGCCACACATGCCTGGAATAAGGTGATTTTGGACTGATTGAGCAGCAGACACATTTCCATCTTTGGAGAGTTGTATCATAGCTCTCTTTTTCGCTAGCAAAATGGAAACAACCCATGGTTATGGTAAGAGTTAACTCTATAATGTGTATTGAATAGAAGTGTCTGCCAGAGTGTATGAGGAAATGCTTTCTCTTGTGAGTTTAGTTCTATTCAGCTGACATAAACTGTCCAAATTCGACTGTCTCGTTTCCAGTGTCAGTCACCACTGCCGGACCCACCTCCAAGGGCTCCAACACACCTGTTCCCGGGACAACGGGCTTCCCGACGACAGAGCCCCTCCCCCCGACGGTGGCTGATGTGACCCAGGGGTTCAACCCGACCTTGCTGCTGCCAGCTGTCCCCACACCCATGGCCCAGCTCCATCACAGACACCTGGCGGCCACCGACTGCTTCCGCTACCTCTACGGAACTTTCCAGACCGACATCACTGTCATTGGTGGGTGCATGACAATGGGATGTCAAACTGATAACAATCAGTGAAGTCAGATAGTCAGTCAATTAGCCCCTCAGTTATCAGTCTATACAAATATAAAGCTTGTACACCTTGCACTTTACCCTATCACAGAGCACCTAATCAACAGCCAGCCAGCCAATCGGATCGTGGACGTATCTGCTGCCAAGGTGACCAACACTGACATCAGCTTCCTGGTCAAGTGCCTGGGCAGGTGAGTGGAACACAATTGGACATTGCTAAGGCAACCCTCAGAAAATTTTAATTTGAAGTGAATATTAGCACACAAACCACTCCATAGTTTCCCCATCCATCTACCATAACCACCTCTCTCCTCCTCTCCCTCCCGTAGCACTCCCACCTCAGCCTGCACCATCGTGTCGGACCCCTCCTGCCGCCAGGTGAGGAACATCGTGTGTGACGACGTGCCCCCGTCTTCGGGGTGCGAGGTGCACCTGCGGAGGACCTTCCTGGAGCCGGGGACCTACTGTGTCAACATCACCCTGGAGGACGCCAGCAGTCTGGCCCTCGCCACCACCACCATCACCATCAGCAACACTGACCCTGACACACCCGGTAGGTCACAGGGATAGACCCTGAGGTATTATTGGCAGCGTTGCAGGCGGACTACTTTACACACGTCTGCCAGATCTCACAATGTCTGGATAGGTGTTTACCATAATTAGTTAACCACATCATCTGATACAGCAATCTGATGACCGACTGTGCAATGTCTGCTGCAATGTTGTGAACGTGTGTATAAGTGCAAGTCGTAGTTGGAAATTTTCATTTTGTTGTCTAGGTTTTGTTTAATAGTGCTTGTGCTAAGTTTGCACCTGATACTAAAGTGCTTTCCTTCTCCTGATCTCATACCTATATTTCTTCTTTCCACTCCTTTCTACTTCTTTCCCTTCCTCTCCCCTTCCGTTCCCTGCCTCTCCTCGATCCCACCTCTCTATCCATTTCCCTTCCTTTTTCTTACCTCTCTCCCTTTTGTAGTGTCTAAAGCTCCTCATGCTGCAGAGGTTGTCCTCTCCTCCAGTGCTATCCTGGTAGCCATCTTTACCTTCATCGCCTTCATAGTCTACAAGTAAGTCAAGCCACAGTGTTCCACACGCTCACGCCTATTACCAAGCTTCCCTTACTCATGATCTCTCTCCTCCATCTCTCTCCCATCCCCCTCTACCCCATTTCTCTCCCCTCCTCTCTCCCCCCTCCATCTCTTTCCTCTTCCCTAGGCGCTATAAGGTCTACAGACCTGTGAGGAGGTCCCTGGTGGAGGATGCCAGCGGCCATGTTGAGGGCAGAGGTCGTATGGGCCGGCTGAGGGAGGTCATATTCCCCGCCAACGAGGAGAGTCGCCGCCTGCTGACGGACAGATGCCCCCTGTAGACCCTCGACGGTACTACAGAAGGGAAGCAAAGAGAAATAGAATTAATAGAGCTTACTCAATATCCTTTCCTAACTGACAGACTAGTGTATCTGTTCTACACCATACATTTCTATCTGAATGTTCTGTAACGTTATATAATCCTGAGCAGGCCACAGGGTTTTTACTCAGAGTTTCTTTAGTACCAAATTATACGTTTAGCACATTTATATAAATGCATCACAAAGATGATATCTATACCAATAACCAAGAGAACTTCCTCACATTTTAGTGTGTGTCTAGGTAAGATAGCAAGAGGTACATTTCACCTGTGCTGAAAAATATGAAAATACTAATAGCTTTTCTGTTTAGTTCACTTTGTAGTAGAAAAGCACGAGTGTGTGGTAAATGGCAAGAATTAAGAGAAGTTTGCAATAAAGCTCAACGTTTTGAATTTGGGGCGGGGCAATGTTTGAGGCAGCGCTGGGGTGTATTCATTCCGCCGATTCTGTTGCAAAACATTTATTAAACGGAACGAAATGGGACCTACCTGAATTTGTCCAATAGAAACTAGTTTTGCTCTGTTTGCTTCCATTTGGTTCTTAAACTGTAAACAGTATCTGTAATGAATACACCCCTGGTGTGAGTGTGATAGTAAGGCCCTGTCACATTTCAATCCCTAGCTTCTTCCCCAAGTCTTTTCAGATCTGTCAACTCCAAAGGGAAATGGGGTTAGGAACTCGAATGGAACTGGGCCAAAAGTTGTATTTCAACTGCTTTGACGGATATTCTGTGTGAATTATTTTGTCATTCAAATTTAGTAAATATATTTATGCGGTCTTTCTCAAGCCTAACAATGGGTTACTTTTAGAAAATGTTAAAACATTAGATTTATCAACTTTAAATACAAGTTGATTTATCAGTGTTTAACTGTACATCGCTGCCCATTCTCTGTAATGTGCATGTCATTTACATTTGTTGCACGAATGTACAGAAGTTTAGTTATTTAGTTACTGAAAAGCCATTGTTTCAAACCAATCTAAAAATGTCATTTTGTTCTGGAAACCAATCTAAAAATGTCATTTTGTTCTGGAAAGATTAAAATAAACATTGTGAACAAACCACTGAGTTTGTGAATATACTGGTAATGTCTGTAGCCTACCAATCTGCATGTGTCTCATGGGGACGGAGTCACAAGTGATGAAACAAGTAACCTGATTAAATATAATTTACAGTTTGACATACAAAACTACTACACTGCTGCTGACCACCGAACACAATTTCATGGTGGCTAAAGTTAGCTTAAGATTGTAGTGGCCGTTTAGAGAAAACCGAACCATAGATTCCAGTTTCTCTTGGTCCATAGATACACTACATGACCACAAGTATGTGGACACCTGCTCGTCGAACATCTCATTCCAAAATCATGGGCATTACAGTTTTTTACAATCACTTTGGCATTAATTTCAGAACCTTGACGTCATTTTTCAAAACTCTAGACACAAAACTCACAACCAATGATTAAAATGCAAATTTTTCAAAACTAGCACTTTTTTCAATTGCTTGGATACAATACACATAAAACTAAGATCATTTGTTCATTTAACAAAAATCACCTGTTCAATATGACACAAATTAACATCAAAGTACTACTATTTCAAAAGGCAATTCACACATTACATTTCAGATGAGTGTCTATTCCCTTCATTACAATTATCCAACTATCAATTGATACAACTGCTCAAAATGATAAGTAACTGTTGCATTACTCTTAATGCATAGTTGTATGGAAACAGACAAACAATATTCCATGTTTAGATCATGAAAGTTTCAAGACAACGAGATTCATTATCACCAATTAGCGTGGAGCATGAACCAATTAGACTACATTATCTATGGATGTAATATTTCATCATCATTCTTTATCAGACACCGTTTCTATGGTCCCATGTACCACCTTTTCAGACTATTTACAGTATTGACAGTACTGCACTGTATGGATGCAGGCCCTTGTAATTGCTTATCCAATTCTGCCAACTCGTTACTGATGATTGAGTTCACATTGTGGAACGAGTATATAAAGAATTGATTGGGATCCACTTGCAACAACATAGCGATACGTACTGTAACATGGAGCCGGCAGGTGATCCAGGTCACAATAGAGGTCAAGCAGTGGTGGGAGGAAGACGTGTTGGTCAAAGGAATGGCAGGGGACAAGCACCCCTTCTGAGAGGTGGTCGTGGGCCTCGTTTGAGAGGTGTGGGGGAACGTGGTAGAGGACAAGGCCACGGACCAAGACAGCGGCCAATGAAATCCGAGAAATAGTTGTAGACCATGTCATAAATCATGGCATGACAATGACTGAGGCGGCTACAATGATACAACCAAACCTCAGAAGGTCAACCGTAGTCTCAATAATCAGAACTTTCCGCAATGAGAACCGATAAGTCGTCAGCATGCACTAAACATTATGCTACTCTCAATTGTCAAATGACTGCATACCAATGTTTATCACAGAGTAGGTGATGTGACCAAGTGTCTTCTTACTGTAATATTCCTTGTAGAATTGAGACTAGGACAAATAGGGGAGGCAGAGGCAAAATTCTGACTGACCAACAAGAGCAGGCTGTGGTCGATTTGGCCAGCATATCTTGGACAATGAAGACATGTTTAACAATGTGGAATCCATAAGTTTGCCGACTATTGCATGCATGCTGAAAAGGCACCAGGTGTCTTTAAAACAACTATACCGTGTGCCTTTTGAAAGAAATGCAGACAGAGTGAAGCAAATGAGGACTGAGTATGTTCAGGTATGTTCACTTTCAAGATGGCTGTTGTAATGAAATTCCCTAATAATTCTACATTGTACAGTAATCAGTAAATATCTTTCCAAAATGTATTTTTAGAGGGTGATGGAGCTGGATGCTGATGACAACCATCACAAATTCATATATTTGGATGAGGCAGGCTTTAACCTGGCCAAGACAAGGAGGAGAGGTTAGAATTTCATTGGCCAGCGGGCAACCATCCAAGTACCTGGACAACGTGGGGCCAACATTACCATGTGTGCGGCTATATCAGAAGATGGTGTGGTGGGATGCAGACCTCGTATTGGATCATATAATGCAGCTCTCCTTGTAACCTTCTTTGATGAGCTCGATCAGGTCTGTAGAGCTGATGGCGTGACTTATGTCATTGTGTGGGATAATGTCAGGTTCCACCTTGCTCATATGGTGCAAGCATGGTTTCAGGCCCATGCACAATTTACCACCCTGTATTTTCCCCCATACTCTCCTTTCCTTAATCCGATTGAGGAATTTTTCTCCACATGGAGATGGAAGGTTTATGATAGGCGCCCTCATGAACAAGTCACTCTTCTCCAGGCCATGGATGACGCATGCATTGACATCAAGGCAGACCAGTGTCAGGCCTGGATTCGCCATGCCCAAAGGTTTTTTCCAAGATGTTTGGCTAATGAAAACATCCATTGTGATGTAGATGAGAACCTGTGGCCAAATCCACAAGACAGAGTTGATGAAAATGTAGTACAGTAATCACTCCTATGTTTTGCTTTTTACAGTACAAGTAAGATGAGGAACACTGCATTTGATGTTTTACAGTACTGTTTTTCATCAATTTATTTCAGATTTTGTTCAATGATTCCACTGTGTCTGTAGTATTCTCTCTACTACTGCAGTACTTTTACAGGGATGCATTTACATGTAGTACCATAATGAAACATGTATCACCTATTTTGTACTACAATATTTAATGATTGTATTTACAATGACAGTGAAACTATCGGTTGCTTGTGTGTGGGTGATTTAAATGAACGTTTCATTGGTATTTCACAATACATTTGTTTTTTTTAACCAATGATAGTGCAAGATTTCTTTAAAGATATGAATGCATAATGCAATGTTTTGAACATTGGACAGCCTGTTACAAGTGATGACCGTTTTGTGTCTAGAGTTTTGAAAAATGACATCAAGGTTCTGAAATTAGTGCCAAAGTCATTGTAAAAAAACTGTAATATGGAGTTGGAATTGATCCATTCAGCCACAAAAGCATTAGTGAGGTCGGGCACTGATGTTGTGCAATTAGGCCTGGCTCGCAGTCGGCGTTCCAATTCATCCCAAAGGTGTTCGATGGGGTTGAGGTCAGGGCTCTGTGCAGGCAAGTCAAGTTTTTCCACACCGATCTCGACAAACCATTTTTTGTATGGACCTCGCTTTGTTCACTGGGGCATTGTCATGCTGCATTCTCCTGGCATCTGCCAAACCCAGATTTGTCCGTCGGACTGACAGATGGTGAAGTGTGATTCATCACTCTAGAGAACGCGTTTCCACTGCTCCAGAGTCCAATGGCGGCGAGCTTTATACATTTCCATCATTTAGCAGACGCTCTTATCCAGAGCGACTTACAAATTGGTGCATTCACCTTATAGCCAGTGGGATAACCACTTTACAATATTTTTATTTTCTTTCTTTGGGGTGGGTAGAAGGATTACTTCATCCTATCCCAGGTATTCCTTAAAGAGGTGGGGATTCAAGTGTCTCCGGAAGGTGGTGAGTGACTCCACTGTCCTGGCGTCGTGAGGGAGCTTGTTCCACCATTGGGGTGCCAGAGCAGCGAACAGTTTTGACTGGGCTGAGCGGGAACTGTGCTTCTGCAGAGGTAGGGGGGCCAGCAGGCCAGAGGTGGATGAACGCATTGCCCTCGTTTGGGTGTAGGGACTGATCAGAACCTGAAGGTACGGGGGTGCCGTTCCCCTCACAGCTCCGTAGGCAAGCACCATGGTCTTGTAGCAGATGCGAGCTTCAACTGGAAGCCAGTGGAGTGTGCGGAGGAGCGGGGTGACGTGAGAGAACTTGGGAAGGTTGAACACCAGACGGGCTGCGGCATTCTGGATGAGTTGTAGGGGTTTTAATGGCACAGGCAGGGAGCCCAGCCAACAGCGAGTTGCAGTAATCCAGACAGGAGATGACAAGTGCCTGGATTAGGACCTGTGCCGCTTCCTGTGTAAGGCAGGGTCGTACTCTGCGAATGTTGTAGAGCATGAACCTACAGGATGGGGTCACCGCCTTGATGTTAGCGGAGAACGACAGGGTGTTGTCCAGGGTCACGCCAAGGCTCTTTGCACTCTGGGAGGAGGACACAACAGAGTTGTCAACCGTGATGGCAAGATCATGGAACGGGCAGTCCTTCCCCGGGAGGAAGAGCAGCTCCGTCTTGCCGAGGTTCAGCTTGAGGTGGTGATCCGTTATCCACACTGATATGTCTGCCAGACATGCAGAGATGCGATTCGCCACCTGGTTATCAGAAGGGGGAAAGGAGAAGATTAGTTGTGTGTCGTCTGCGTAGCAATGATAGGAGAGGATATGACAGAGCCAAGTGACTTGGTGTATAGCGAGAATAGGAGAGGGCCTAGAACTGAGCCCTGGGGGACACCAGTGGTGAGAGCACGTGGTGCGGAGACAGATTCTCGCTACGCCACTTGGTAGGAGCGACCGGTCAGGTAGGACGCAATCCAAGAGTGAGCCGCGCCGGAGATGCCAAACTCGTGAGAGGGTGAAGAGGAGGATCTGATGGTTCACAGTATCAAAGGCAGCAGACAGGTCTAGAAGGACAAGAGCAGAGGAGAGAGTGTTAGCTTGGCATTGCGCATTGTGATCTTAGGCTTGTGTGCGGTTGCTCGGCCATGGAAACCCATTTCATGAAGCTCCTGACGAACAGTTATTGTGCTGAAGTTGCTTCCAGAGGCAGTTTGGAACTCAATAGTGAGTGTTGCAACAGAGGACATACCATTTTTCAGCACTCGGCGGTCCCGTTCTGTGAGTTTGTGACCTACCACTTCGCGGCTGAGCCGTTGTTGTTCCTAGAGGTTTCCTCTTCCCAATAAGCGCACTTACAGTTGACCGGGTCAGCTCTAGCAGAGCAGAAATTTGAGAAACTGACTTGTGGTGCGACATTGAAAGTCTTAGCTCTTCAGTAAGGCAATCTACTCCCAATTTGTGTTAATGGAGATTACATGGCTGTGTGCTCAATTCTATACCTGTCAGCAAAGGGTGTGGCCTCAATAGCCGAATCCATTAATTTTAAGGGGTGTCCACATACTTTGTATATATAGTGTACTTTCAAGGTGAGGAACTATCTAGCATCAAGTTGTAGAATCCTGAACTTCCCCTTTAACAAAAGTTAAGTTACACAAACATAATACATTTTAGGGCATCTTACAGTAGATTGAAAAAACATGAGGAAAAGAAGACTAGTGAAAGACATGGGAGCCAATTTCAGTTTATTTATTTATTCAGAGGCATTTGACAAGTGGAGCTGTGAGAGGGGGGTGAAGGGGCAGAAGCATGGTCGCAGGGAGGGGGGGGGGTAGGGGTATCATGCTTAAACCAGACCACTTTTCCCAAACTCAGTCCCTCTTTCCCACACAAACATGATTTTCCACATTACACATCCAAGAAATGCTAACCAAACAAATCGTTATCAAATCAGCAGGCCAATGCAGCATCCGTAAAGACATCAAAATGTAAGAAAGACTTAGTATTTATTTTTAGTCTCATAAACCAGAAACAGAAGGCAGGTCCTTTTTTTTTTAAAACATATATATATATATATATATTTTTTTTTTTTTACTTATCATCCAGTCATTGAATCCAAAAAACTTCAAAACAGGTGAATGACCTTTTATCACAAAAAACCCAAGCAAGAAAGTTCAATACATGGAAGCCACACCACCAACAATAAAAGCAGAAAGAAAAGCAACATGTTGAGGATCTTCAATCAATTAAGCTACAAAAGATATGCTGGCAAAGGAAATATTTGTTAACTTTTCGATTATTCGTTGAAATTCTAAAGAGTACATGATTTATTTACTTTCATTAATATCTGGGAAAGCGGAAGGGGGGACAATGGGAGAATAACCCTAAATCTAACAAATAGAAGTATGCCTCTAATTCAAATGTGTCTAAAGAGGTAGATTTAAAAAAACAGGAGGAAGGGAGGGGGAATAACAAACTTCACTTGTGCCCCTCGTGTACGTAAGCGCGATGTTGGACCGCGTGAGCACGCACGCGCCCATGCAGAGAAGTGTTCCAGGGGGGACTGAGGTATCGCAGCGAGCGCTAGGCGGGGTGAGGGCGCGTGCCGCCACAAACCCCCCTCAGCTGAGGTAGACAGCGTTCTACTGTGGAAGCATGGATACACTCTAGCACTTTTACCACAATCAAAACATATTTACATTCTGCATGAAATAAAAAGGAAAAAGTTGGTATAGTATTTCATCATAGTTTGATTTATTTTTTTACTTTTCTTACTCATCCCAATCAATCAAAGTTAATTTTGTATTTTTTTTGTGTGCATCTTGGCTTTTTGTAATGAATAACAATTTAAACTTCTCTCACTTCAAATCAAGATTACAGCTGCTGGTTAAACAAACGCATCCTTTAGTTACCGTAGTTTCAATAGCAAAAAAAAAGCATCCATCAGTGAGACTCCCCCCTACCTTCACCATGCAGTGAATGACACTAACGTAGACCGACTCGGTGGCTACTGTGTCCACCACACATGGCCAAGCTCCCTCTATGAAAAAACCCTAGTCAGGCTGTCGACCACACTTTAGCCCGTCAGAAACCTGGGATGACTTCCAAATGGCACCCTATTCTCCCCATGTAGTTACACCTTGGAGCACTATAGGGGAAATGGGGTGCTATTTGAGACTAGGATGATGTAATAAAGCAGGTAAGGCCTAAGCAGGTAACACGAATACAACCGAGAACAGACAGTGCTGCTCTAACGTGTCCATTTCTATGGAGGCTACAGAGAGAGAGCACTCAGAGTTCAGGCCCCTCCATTGTGTGCATTGCACTTCCAGGAAGGCAAAAGGAAAAATCATTACGTGTGAAAAATGTAACGTTCCATCAACAATAAGAATGTCAGAATCCCAAAACTAAACGGTATCGCTGCAGTATGTACGGTTGGCATTATTCAGCATTACTCTAATATAGTCGTTGTTTGTAGTTTTCATTAGATGCTGGATACCTCAGGAAAACTGAGGCGATTTATTTTCTCTCGATACTCCCGTCAGCAGCCAACAGTTGGGCGCCAACTCTGCCCTGGGCTCTATGTACAGAAACGTTATGTACAGGGCCACCGTCGTCACACACAGACAGACATTGTACATGTCGCCGCCTCTGGAGAGCGCTAGAGTTGAAGGCAAGGTCAGTTGGCAGCTGACCAAATTTTAAATTTTCTTAAAAAAATAAAAATGTTCAATAACTATTAGCTTTATAAAGTATACAAAATACCACAAAGCAAAATAAAAAAAGGAACATTTTTTTCATATATATAATCATTTTCTTTTTCTCATCGTCGTCTTCTTGAGGTACTAGAGATCCTGAGGTAGTTCAGTACAATGCATATTAAATTGGTTTTCCTGGCCAACACCATTCAACACGTCCCTTAAGTATTACCGGCAGTGTTATCCTCGCCTCTAAATATATATATTTATTTATATATATATCTATAAAATGCATCCGAATGTATAAAATGCCACTATCAATACCAGGACAGGGGCACCCTGTTAGACCACCGCCGGGGCCCCTGTCCAATCAAACAAGAGTATTACCCCAAGCCCCGCCCCTCCCCATCTAAACCCCTCCCCCTAACCTTTCTTCTTAGTCCTACAAGGACTCTGAGCAATGCCTTTTTCTTTCCAAAGAAAACTCAGGAGAGAAAGCTTCAACCAACTAAATAAACACTTCATCCAGGGCAAAAAAAACAAGGTAAAATAAAAAAGGTAAAACTAAAGTCAAAATTAACAGCGGTCATCAACATGTGAGGTGGTTGAGTGTTACCACACCAGGGAAGTGACAGGAGGGGGTTAATTATTATTTATTTGTGTTTTCTAGTGTACCAAAAAAAAACAACACTAAAACAAATAAGAAACCAATCAGGACCGAGGTGAGGGTGAGGGGGGGGCAGGGGGTGAGAGGGTGTGAGATAACATTGGAACCCTCAAGTACATTCTCACAGAGATGCAGAGAGGTGTGGCGACTGGGTGTAATGTCTTATCCACACTGTGGTGTCGGCCGGGGGGAGGGGGGGGGTAGTGTCGGTCGAAGAGATAGTCGAGAGGGGGGTAGTGTCGGTTGAGGATGCCGGGGGGAGAGGGGGTAGTGTCGGTCGAGGATATCGTTGAGAAGGGGGTGGGGGTAATGTCGGTCGAGGAGATCGTCGAGAAGGGAGTGGGGGTAGTGTCGGTCGAGGAGCTCGTCGAGAGGGGGGTGGGGGTAGTGTCGGCCGAGGAGCTCGTCGAGAGGGGGGTGGGGGTAGTGTCGGTCGAGGAGCTCGTCGAGAGGGGGGTGGGGATAGTGTCGGCCGAGGAGCTCGTCGAGAGGGGGGTGGGGGTAGTGTCGGTCGAGGAGCTCGTCAAGAGGGGGGTGGGGGGTCTAAGGTCGAGGAGGTCGTCGAGGGGGGTTGGGTGTAAGGTCGAGGAGGTCGTCGAGAGTGGGGGTGTACAGTAGGGTACCCATGACCCTTAACCCCTGAGATGAGCTCGTTGTCCCTGCCCGTGTTTCCCATCCGGTCTCTGCTCTGCTCTGTCTTCGGGGTGGTTCAGTCACTGGCCCCCCTGGCCCAACGGGATACCCCTGTCTACTTCCGGGAGGGGCGGGAGAGGGGGGGTCCCTCCCCACGGGGTGAGGGTTTGGGCTGCTGTTGCCGTCTCACCTGGGACAATATCTCCTGGATCTTCCTCTGGGCCAGCTGGGGAGGGGTCAGAGGGCAAAGGGCAGAGGGCAGAGGTCAGGACACTTCATCTGACAATGACATGCACATATCCATTGCTTGTAAGATTAGTAGAATTAAGAATTCATCAAGCAGAAAGGTTAATGATGGCTGCATCTAAAATGGCACCCTATTCCTTATATAGGGCACTACTTCTGACCAAAAGTAGTGCCCTATATAAGGAATAGGGTGCCATTTCAGATGCAGCCATTGATTAATGCTACACAGATGTGAAGCAGTATGGTGGACAATCCTTACATAAGGAAGCAGACATTATATACATTTTACTCAAACCACATCTGTTGACTTTACCAAGGTTCAACTACACTCCCTTTACCCTACAGCACACAACCTTACACTCAGCTGCATTCATACTGTGCCCATAGCATGAACCAGGCTTTTAGCTCAGTAATCAGAGCTGACGGATGAATTTGGACTCATTCTCTCCCCCCGTCAGATAGAAGACCCCGTCTTGCCCAGTGAAAGGGGTGGAGGAACATCCTGTAATCATAGCTCCTCCCATAGGGGTAGATTTGGAATTGGGCAACAGTATTAGTACTGTAGTGAATTGATTTCAGACGTTATACATTCATTTATTTTACGCTCCTTTATTTTATTTCCTCATGCTTGTTTTTGATCTACTTCATTTGTTGTTGTTTTACTGTAAAGTGAGTTGCAATTTAATTGCCCTTTAAACTTTGATTAGTGTAACATACCTGGCTTGCATAGAAGTGTCCAGTGATTTTGACAATGACCTGGTCGTTCTCGTCAGGCGTCTGGTCTCTGGGGACCACCACCTCAGCACTGGTCAAGTTCTGCAACTCATTCACCTGAGGGGGGAGGCAGACACAAGAAGAGGGGGGAGGCAGACACAAGAAGAGGGGGGAGGCAGACACAAGAAGAGGGGGGAGGCAGACACAAGAAGAGGGGGGAGGCAGACAAGAAGAGCGAGAAACAGAGCAAGAGCGAGAACGAGAGAGCAAGCGAGAGACACGGGGAGCGAGAGAGACGGGGAGCGAGAGAGAAATTAAGAACAAATTAATAAAAGCCATTTATATTATGGCCAAAGTAATAAGTGGTGTTTTCAATTATTCTGCAGCAGAACTTTTATTCATTTTGCAACAATAATTGTAGTGATCACACACAGACAGAGACCGGCCTCTGCGTACCGTTTTGCCTCCCTTGCCGATGACACGTCCAGCAGCGAAGGAGGGCACCTTGATGTGAGCCTCTAGTTTCACCTCCTCCTTCGGCCCAAAGAAGTTCTCCTCCTTTAGCTTCCCAAAGATACGACCCTGAGCCTGAAACAGGGCAAACGGCACACATCATACACTGGAGTCAAAGGATATTTCACAACCCTTGATTGAAGCTGCATGTAGCTCAGTTGGTAGAGCATGGCGCTTGCAACGCCAGGGTTGTGGGTTCGTTTCCCACGGGGGGCCAGTATGAAAATGTATGCACTCACTAACTAAGTCGCTCTGGATAAGAGTGTCTGCCAAATATTTTTTTTTTAAAAGCTACAGAAGCATCTTTCTCTAACTGTAAATATCTGCTTTATTTTATGTAATTGACTTGACAGGGACGTTGGACATCAAGCTAGGTAGTTTAATTGTATAGACTACAATGTTTTGGGGAAAAAGGACAACACTTTTCCTCTGGTGCGGTGGGCATTGATCAGACATAGCATGGCTGGAGAGCGAGGTCCTGAGGGCTCCTACCTTGAACTGGGCCTCTGGTGGTCCAGCGATGATCACCATCCTCTGCTTGTTGTCCATGCCTTCTGGAGGGGCTAACTGAGGGACATGACGTGTTAACACATCTGCACACACACTTTACTTGCTGTAATTACTGCCCACTGCTTCCCTTTAACCCATCAGGGACGCATCACAACAGCCTGAAGGGGGTGCCACCCAATCCCAATCTGAACCCTAACCCCATTTGCACTTCTGAGAGGATTGATGGGCATATAAGCAACAAGACAAAAAAAATTCATCTGAATGTTGGAAGCAAAAACATATACCTGGTTTGCATCTACGACACTGACTTCATCTGCACTGATCTGAAATGGAGGAGGCGTGGAAATTGGTGAAAGAACAAATAAGACAAGAAGCTACATTAAGTTATTGAGACGCAGCTCAAACATCTCCTGTCAGTTAAATCCCTCACCTTGATGGAGGCTCCGGCGAAGCGCGACAGCTGCTTGATGTGTTGACCCTGTTTTCCAATGATGGCTCCAACCGCTAGCGCCGGGATGAACAGATGGACCGTCTCCGACTCCGGCTGCCCCTGGCCCTGTGGAACAGTAGAGGCCACACGACCGTAATGAGATCACAGTGAGACCACAACAGAGCAATTCAGACCGTAAGGAGACCACAACCAGGCCTGGCAAACAGCGATAGCAGCCCAGATGACCGCGACCAAGCAACTGATGCAGCGACACAGGAAGAAGGATCCTCACAGAGCTTGCATCCTAAATGGCAACCTATTCAGTGCACTACTTTTGACTATAGCCCTATAAGCCCTGGTCAAAAGTAGTGCACTATACAGGGAATAAGGTGCCATTTGGGACACAGTCAGGGAGGCCGGAAGCAGAGCTGATTGGAAGTTTCCTAAGTGCTTTATTAACAAAGTTGTACCTCATATTTAACCAGTCAAATCTAGGCCAATTCAACTTTATTTATCCCCTCAGTAGCATACAGAAGCAGAATATCACTGCATAACCATGAAAGAACTGAACATACAGTATTGAAGAGGTTGAATACAACTTAACAAATCTCCTCAACTTCCAAATGTGGCGTGTGTCCCAATTATCTCTCCTTTTTCCCCAAGTGAGCACTTGTTCACTTCCTTTTATGGATTAGAAAGAAAAAGACTGCTATGAAAATTGCCTCCTGCCCACAACAATACCAATCCAATGCTTTTACATTTGTGGGGATTAGTGATCGAGTGTACATTTCAGGAGAAAGGAGAGAATATTGGGATGCACCCAGGGCATAAGAGACCCACCCCGACTTTAGAAAGATAAGCAAATCTGTAGCATCCAGCGCCTAGCTCAGGTAAACACAGCATTCCCAGAGGGTTCTCCGTTTCTCTGCAGCAACTGTACACATCCAACTAATCCACACAGTATATGGATGCACCACTCAGATAATCCCTTTCAAATGGAAGTCTGAGGTCAGAGAATGCTTGGCCCTGCTCAGTCACACCCCAGCGCTTCCACAGACACATTAGAACAGATTATTGTATTAAAGATGACCTGTAGCAAACTGCGTCCGCTCACTGCACATGGCTGGTGTTAGTGGGTGAGATATTTTAGATGAGGGGGCAGGGAGGCATGGTCCTGGAGGTATTAATATTATCCATTTAGTGCACCCATACCGCTCTGGTCAAAAGTAGTGCACTATATAGGGAATAGGGTGACATTTGGGACAGAGCTGATGGGACTGCTGGATGTTTTAATCTAGAGGACACCATCATCAAATCATTACACTTCAGTCATCCAACACTTGGTCACATTCAGAAGCCTCCAGATGGGAGAAAACCTTTTCCCAAGGAGGCGGTTCCAGATTAAAAACTGTTCAATAGAAAGGTGCCCGCTTGAAAACATTTGCACCCATTTGTAACCTTCTAAACATGCCAAGGTGTTCAATAGCTGCTTTTTTGTCTTCTCAAGTTGAGGGCCCAACTAAACTCAGCAGACACTGAGGTCCTCGGGGACTAGGGGCCCCTTCCCAGCAGGTTTTAAAGAAATGAACATAGACGTGTTAAGCCCTCCCTAGGGGTCAAAGGTTACTGGGAGGGGTGGAGTTTAGCTGTGGCGAGCCCTACCTCGTTACCCTATCCGGCAGCGAGCAGCCAGAAGCCGTGCAAAGCACTGTGGGAAGGGAGACTTACAGAGAGGGGCTGGCTGCTCGCCGACAGCACAGACGCCCAAAATGGCCCTTCGCCCCCGAAGGAACTGCTCTATAGGAGAGAATAACACGAAACCAAGTCACTGTCGTGCCCCCAAATGGCTGCTCTATAAGGAGAGAAAAACACAGACAGGGTCACTGAAAGATCCAAAATGGCTTCTCAGTCAGAGGTTGGTCTGTTTTAGGTTTCTTCTTGCAGAACAGCTCTGTAAGGAGGGGGGTATCTTAAAGCATCACCAAGAGGCCCTGTGGAGTAGACCCAGGGATGTGGGCGGGGAGGGGAAGGGTCCAGACACTCACCCCGAATGAGGAGTAGCCACCCTGGGCACCGGGAGGTGGGACGTTGTGTCCCATGGAGGGGCCCATACCTGGAGCACCACCAGGGAACAAACCCAAGGCATTCAGGTTGAGTCCTGGAATCAGGTTAGACTGGAGCTGGGGAGAGACAGAGAGCGAGAGATGGATAGCGGGAGAGAGAAAGAGATTTCTACCAGCCAAAATGAACTAGAACAGAAAAAGATCTCAGGGAAACCACTCAAATACAATTAAAGGCTGAGGGACGGCAAACGCAGGTCCGTAGCAAGTAGTTAAACATTTCATTTCTATACCCTCACTTGTCATTTCATTAAAACTAAAAAATGAAATCTCCCAGGTTGCGTCTCAAATGGCACCCTATATAGTGCACAAAAGTAGAACACTATAGGGACACTACTCCAGATTCTTTGGTTCTACCAACACAGCGTGCCATGCCAAGTGCGTTAGAACAAGGACCTACGTTCATAGCGGCCACGTCATTCTCATACGACTCCCTGACCTTCTTCATGACTTCCTCCTCGGCTCGGGAGCACGCCTCGATGGAACCCTTCACTGTGATGGTCCTCTCAGGGTTGTACAGGGTCAGGTCCTGGAGACTGGAGGAGGACATCCATTACCACCTTGGTCTCTAGTGGGTGTGTGTGTGTGTGTGTGTGTGTGTGTGTGTGGTGTGCGCGCGTATTGTGATGGGAGACTGATCTTGTTGTGTTCCTTATACCTTAGAGACATGAGGATTTTGTCATTGGTGTGTTAGTGGGATTATTTTACAGAGGTAATTTTGATGAGACGAAAATGTATGCATGTGTGTGGCGCTTGTACAAAGAGATCCAGTAATTTTGATAATGTGAAGAGCCCTGCCTGTTTAGCAAAAAATATTATTGTGTGTGCCTGTTTTGCATGTTATTTTGGCATTAATTTGTGTCAGATATCAGTTTGCAAACAATGTAAAAATTTAATCCTTGAGTTAATAAAGCCGCATACAAACACGGTCTCTGTCTTGAGTAAGGCAGCTCCAAAATGCCTAGCTCAGTGCTTTCTGTAGTGGAGGGGCAGCCAGTGAAAATACAGAGCGCAGGCATTGGTAATCTTCCCTAGTTGCTCTGTGATTGGCTCAGTGTGCTGTCACTCATGGGGACACTGTCACCGCAGAATCTACAGGGAGAGCTAGGCAGTTCAAGCCCCCCTTGGGTGCTGACATAGACTTAAATTAGAAGTGCCCGTCCAAGAAGGCTCAAGGTCATTGGTCACAGATAAAATTATATATATATTTTTTAAATTACTTCAAATCACGTTATATCTACCATAGCTTTGATTGGACTGCTCATGTCAACATCATACTTTCAAAATTTTAGCTAGCAAGCAGTCATCATGAATCATGTCAACAATCTACTGGCAAGTAGGAAAGTAGGAAAAAAAAAAGAGGACTGAGCACGCCCCCATTCTCATCGACAGGGCTGTAGTGGAACAGGTTGAGAGCTTCAAGTTCCTTGGTGTCCACATCACCAACGAACTATCATGGTCCAAACACACCAAGACAGTCGTGAAGAGGGCACGACAAAGCCTATTCCCCCTCAGGAGACTGAAAAGATTTGGCATGGGTCCTCAGATCCTCAAAAAATTCTACAGCTCCACCATCGAGAGCATCCTGACTGGTTGCATCACCGCCTGGTATGGCAACTGCTTGGCCTCCGACCGCAAGGCACTACAGAGGGTAGTGCGTACGGCCCAGTACATCACTGGGGCCAAGCTTCCTGCCATCCAGGACCTCTATACCAGGCGGTGTCAGAGGAAGGCCCTCAAAATTGTCAAAGACTCCAGCCACCCTAGTCATAGACTGTTCTCTCTGCTACCGCACGGCAAGCGGTACCGGAGTGCCAAGTCTAGGTCCAAAAGACTTCTCAACAGCTTCTACCCCCAAGCCATAAGACTCCTGAACAGCTAATCATGGCTACCCGGACTATTTGCACTGCCCCCCCACCCCATCCTTTTTACGCTGCTGCTACTCTGTTAATTATTTATGCATCGTCACTTTAACTCTACCCACATGTACATATTACCTCAACTACCTCAACTAGCCGGTGCCCCCGCATATTGACTCTGCAACGGTACCCCCCTGTATATATAGCCTCCCTACTGTCACTTTATTTTACTTCTGCTCTTTTTTCTCTCAACACTTTTTTTTGTTGTTTTATTTTAACTTTTTTGGTTAAAAATAAATGCACTGTTGGTTAAGGGCTGTAAGTAAGCATCTCACTGTAATGTCTGCACCTGTTGTATTCGGCGCATGTGACCAATAAAATTTGATTTGAAGTCCTTTTCCTATGAAGAGAAATTATAGATAAAACCTATCGGTGCTCATTTGCCATTGAACATAAACATTACAGAAGTCAGAAATCGCAAATTCAACAATGAATGGTTTGGAAGGAATCAGTGGCTAACTGCCAACGTCGCAAAGCAATCACTATTTTGCTTCCCCTGCCTGCTATTTGGTGGAGAGGGTGTGTGGTCCAAGTCTGGGTTTAAGGATTTAAAAATATCTGAAAGGGTCTCTTTTTCCAAGTTTAAAAGGATAAACATTAACATGCAACACCATGCTCCGAAGACGTGGCTGTCGATTAAGGCAGCCGTCCGCACCTCTCTGATTCAGAGGGGTTGGGTTAAATGCGGAAGACACATTTCAGTTAAATGCATTCAGTTGTACAACTGACTAGATATCCCCCTTTCCCTTTCCTTTGGGCCAAAAAGGGCTGAATACATTTGCCATGCTGTCAATCCAGCATGACTTCTGCAGTGTTCAAAACAACTGGGAACTCAGAACCGGGAAATCTCAAGACTTCGGTGCGTTCAAGACCACTGGGAACTCGGCAAAAAACTAGCTCTGACTGGGAAAATACGTTTTGAACGGTCATCTAACTTGGAATTTCAAGGTCGGGAACTCGGGTCTCTTCCTAGAGCTCCAACTTTCCGACCTGACGATCACTGACATGATTCGACCTGTTTTTTTTTTTTGTTGAGTTCCCAGTTGTCTTGAAAGCACCATATATACAGACAATGCCAGACTTTGACAAAGTTTGCCCACAAGAAGGATCGCCACGCCACCTTGTGAGCACAGCAACGGTGAGTCCAAAAATAAGCCTGTGTCTTGTATGCTGATGTATAAATGATATAATATGCCAGGGAGATACGCATAATGTAGCTAAGAAAGTAATACTAAGTGCATGTTGTGTAGTAAGCTGTTAGTACCCCATGTGTCTCACCCTAATAATTTGGTCCCTCTCCCCCTCAGAACTAAGCCTACACTGTTATGACTTGGTGGTGCGCACGTAGCCTATAGCCAGTTTCAGAGAAATGTCATCATCGAATATTGTAAAAAGCTTTGTCTACTTATATACCCCCGTTATTTATCATACGTTTCTGACTTGGTGTACAGGGCGAATATTGTAAGAACGGCCCATATTCTGAATTATGTCGCTGTCCATTTCAAAAGTGCTGAACAAATAGTTATAGGCCTATCGTCAGTCTTCGCTTGCGCATTAATGTCATCAAAATTACGTCTTGCCTCATCTGCTCATAGTTCCCTTATGCCATACTTTGTACATCACAATTGTTATATTGCTTATATTAGGTCTCTCAGTATCTTAGCATTTTAGGCAACGTTGGAATTATGCATTTCTTTGTTTTGCTTACTTTGTGTATTATAATTAGCTCATGTGCTTTTCTCCACGAGGAGGGGAAACTGTTGTTGGGTCTGTAACCATGTTTGCCAGTGAAAGTTCAGTAATAGACCCATGTAATTCCAGTTGATATTGCACGGGTTGTTTTGTTTGCGCAATGTGGTGTCTGTGCGTCAGTATAGGCGTATTGTCGATAAAAATGGATAAATATAATACTTAAAATGGTAAGCTAACTGTGTCGCTCTCTCTGGTGACTTAAAGAGTAAAGTTAAATTCAGCAAGATGAAGTCCTTCTCTGAACTAACACCTGAATTTCTGTCTGTGTCCATTTTGAAAGTGCTGAAGTCAGCCATGATTGTTTTTTTTTAAGGCAGTAATTTAGGCTGAATGAACTATTTCGCAGCCAGACGAGGCTCCGCTGATAGCCAGGTGTAGCGGTGGTAATGCTCCATGATGCTGAAAGGAACGCTCCGCTGTCGGGACAGCTTTATGTAGGTCCAAACAGTTTGAGGGCACCGTTTGTCACGTTATAGTGCAATTAATGTATTGTTTAGTGTTGTGTTGTGGCTTTGCTGGCATGCATCCCCCAAAAATGTGGTTGAATTTGCCACACCAAGATTTACATGCTAAAATAGCCATTATTATTATTATTATTATTATTACGTGGTCCGAGAAATTAGAAATTGTGATTTTGGGACGCGTGTGTGGTCATCTTACGGGGAGATCGTGATCTTGGTCTCTGTGTCCACTTCAATCTTCTTTAGGTTCCGTCCTTCCTTCCCGATCAGTCGGCCCACAAAGTTGTTGTGAGCCAGAATCTTCAGTGGAATCTCCTCAGTACTGTTGATAGAGAGGAGGCAGAGAAAGAGAGAAAGACAGGGGTCTATTGTTCAAGTTGTAGAATAATTAAAAGTGGAACTAACAGCGTTTTAGCAAAATGAAATCGTATTAAAATCTGATCATCTACTCCCCCAGGAAGAAATTACACTTTTCTGTGAGCAATTAGTCATTCACGTTTTCATAAATTCATAGAATGTTTGGGAATGACAGAGCAAGGCATTTGTGAAATTTCTATAGCAATAGAGGAAACGCGGCCATGCGGTTGGACAATTAATAGACACTGCAGTAAATAAAAACATCTGTCTTGTCCAGAACCAGCATCTACGCAGACCGGTGCACCATAGCCAATCAGAGCTACAATAGGCCTATATGCAAATGAGCCATTTGCCACATGGGCCGGCCATCATTCACTTTGAACTGGACTGTGTGTTTACAGGCAGTAGCAACAGCGTGACTTTAGATTAGAACGCATTCGCCAAAAGACACAAAATACACCTGAATGGATTTCTGCAAATATGTAAATACTTTTACATTTGGGAACTTCAGTCCTAGGTAGTTTCTCCCCCTCAGTTGCCTACGCACATAAACATGATCAACAACTAGCTAATGCTAGCCAGAACGAGATGAGCTAAAATGTAACGAGGCAACAAGACAAAACCTCAAACTTTTTCAGCTAGTTGGCAGTCAAAATTACACTGATAGCCTGCTCGTCTTAGTTTATTAATTCTACCATTTTAAGAAAACAACCATCCATACAACTTGAAAAGCCATACATGCACATGAGTAAAATCGAGGATAAAGTCTAAGACTTATTTCCATTGTGGTCCTCTTCAGACAAGATGGCTAGTCAAGATCCAACACAGTAGGACAGTGAGATAATAAAACAAAAGGTGCTTTAAAAATGGGCACAGAAGACAAACAGTTTATTATGTTGTTTTTATGGGCAGAGGCAACTCATTCCACTCTGAGGCTCCAGTATACAATAAAGTACCTTTCCCAGCATTACCCCTGAACCGGTATAAGCACACATTAGCAACACCTGATCTGGTGCTGTGATTGTGTGCATTCCTAACATGGGGAAAGTAATCAGTTAGATATCTGGGCGCAGAACGACAAATACTGCTGTAAACCAAACCCAGTCTAAATCTGGGACACCCTAGCCTCAACAGACAGCCAGTTGAGTTACTTGAAAGCAGCTCCTGCCTATGCGAGTATGATGACTCACCTTCAATACTACCCTTATCAGCTTATTCTGGGCTAACTTAGATAAGCCCCCAAACCAGGAAGTACTAGCATAGTGAAAATGGCATTGAATGGCTAGCACTCTCATGGGAGTCCTTGGCTGGCGGTATTGTAGCGGGCCAAAATGAATTGACAACCCAAATCATTGCCGGGCTGGATAGAAATGTGTCACGCCTTGTTTGACATGTGCACTAGCCTATTACTGATGTTATGACTAACTTGTGATTATTTCCCTTGCTAGTTTGATTGTATTGACATTCCCAGCCTTAGTTACAGGCGTCCGTTTTTGTCCAAAATATTGAGTCATTGAAACTGAAACAGTGCATGCTGAATGGAGGCAGCAAACAATGTACCAGGCCAGCTTTGATTTACAACCTGATAGCTAAACGTTTTGGACTACCAAGAAATGTATTGGTGAATTATATTAATCATGCATTGAACTGCATCCATCAATTCTGCCAACAATGCCTCACTGTATGTCATGGAATTTTTAGTAAAACAACCTATTTTTAAAACCTGTTATATAGTTGGTTTTGAAGCATAAACTGGGCAGTGCACTCAGAAAGTATTCAGACCCCTTGACTTTTTCCACATTTTGTTACATTACAGCTTTATTCTAAAATTGATTAAACTGTTTTTTCCCCTTCAATCTAACACACAATACCCCATAATGACAAAGCAAAAACAGGTTATACATTTTTGCAAATGTATTAAAAATAAAAAACAGAAATATCACATTTAATAATGCCACTTAGCAGACGCTTTTATCCAAAGCGACTTACAGTCATGCGTGCATACTTTTGTGTGTATGGGTGGTCCCGGGGATCGAACCCACTACCCTGGCGTTACAAGCGCCGTGCTTTACCAGCGGAGCTACAGAGGACCACATAAGTATTCAGACCCTTTACTCAGTACTTTATTGAAGCACCTCTGGCAGCAATTACAGCCTCGAGTCTTCTTGGGTATGACGCTACAAGCTTGGCACACCTGTATTTGGGGAGTTTCATTCTTCTCTGCAGATCCTCTCAAGCTCGGTCAGTTTGGAAGGGGAGTGTCACTGCACAGCTATTTTCAGTTCTCTCCAGAGATGTTCGATCGGGTTCAAGATAATGTTTCTCATGGTCTGAGAGTCCTTTAGGTGCCTTTTGGCAAACTCCAAGCAGACTGTCGTGCCTTTTACTGAGGAGCGGCTTCCGTCTGGCCACTCTACCATACAGGCCTGATTGGTGGAGTGCTGCAGAGACGGTTGTCCTACTGGAAGGTTCTCCCATCTCCACTGAGGAACTCTGTCAGAGTGACCATCAGGTTCTTGTTCACCTACCTGACCAAGGCCCTTCTCCCCCGGGCGGCCAGCTCTAGGAAGAGTCTTGGTGGTTCAAAACTTCTTCCATTTAAGAATGATGAAGGCCACAGTGCTCTTGGGGAACTTCAATGCTGCAGACATTTTTTGGTACCCTTCCCCAGATCTGTGCCTCGACACAATCCTGTCTGAGCTCTACGGACAATTCCTTCGACCTCATGGCTTAGTTTTTGCTCTGACATGCACTGTCAACTGTGGGACCTTATATAGACAGGTGTGTGCCTTTCCAAATCATGTCTAATCAATTGAATTTACCACAGGTGGACTCCAATCATGTTGTAGAAACATTAAGGATGATCAATGGAAACAGGATACACAATAAGGCTCCATGGATTGATGAGGAATTGAAAAACTATGGTTGAAAGAGATGTGGCAAAAGGAGTGGCTAATAAGTCTGGCTGCACATCTGACTGGCCGACTTAACCCAAATTGAGAAAATGATGTGACTAAACTCAACATAAAGAAGAAGAAACTGTATTATGATGCCAAGAGCAATGATATAAAGAATGATGGGAAAAAAAACTTGAGAACTTTAAATGAAATTACGTGCAGAAAGACAAATTCAACTCCATCTTTCATCGAATCAGATGGCTTATTCATCACAAAACCATTTGATGTTGCCAATTATTTTAATGATTACTTTATTGGCAAAGTGGGCAAACTTAGGCAGGAAATGCCAACAACGAACAGTGAGCCATCGTATTCATGCATAAAAAAAAAAACTGAAAGAAAAGCATTGCAAGTTTGAATTTTGTGAAGTTAGTGTGGGAGAGGTGGAAAAATTGTTATCTATCAATAATGACAAACCTCCTGGTATTGACAACATAGATGGAAAGCTACTGAGGATGGTAGCTGACTATAGCCACTCCTATCTGTTATATCTTTAATCTGAGCCTAGAGGAACGTCTGTCCTCAGGCCTGGAGGGAAGCCAAAGTAATTCCGCTACCCAAGAGTAGTAAAGCGGCCTTTACTGGTTTTAACAGCAGACCTATAAGCTTGCTGCCAGCTCTTAGCAAACTGTTGGATTGTGTTGACCAAATACAATGCTATTTCTCTGTAAACAAATTAACAGACTTTCAGCATGCTTATAGAGAAGGGCACTCAACATGTACTGCACTGACACAAATGACTGATTATTGGTTGAAAGAAATTGATAAGAACATTGTGGGAGCTATACTGTTAGACTTCAGTGCAGCCTCTTATATTATTGAACATAACCGGTTGTTGAAAAACTCTGCCATATCGTGGATTCAGAGCCATCTATCTAATAGAACTCAAAAGGGTTCTCTTTAATGGAAGCTTCTCTAATGTCAAACATGTAAAGTGTGGTGTACCGCAGGGCAGCTCTCTAGGCCCTCTACTCTTTTCTATTTTTACCAATGACCTGCCACTGGCATTAAACAAAGCATGTGTCCATGTATGCTGATTATTTAACCATATACGCATCAGCAACCACAGCTAATGAAGTCACTGAAACCCTTAACAAAGAGTTGCAGTCTGTTTTGGAATGGGTGGCCAGTAATAAACTGGTGCTGAACATCTCTAAAACTAAAAGCATTGTATTTGGTACACATCATTCCCCAAGTTCTAGACCTCAGCTGAATCTGGTAATGAATGGTGTGGCTGTTGAACAAGTTGAGGAGACTAAATTACTTGGCATTACCTTAGATTGTAAACTGTCATGGTCAAAATATATAGATTCAATGGTTGTAAAGATGGGGAGAGGTCTGTCCGTAATAAAGAGATGCTCTGCTTTTTTGACACCACACTCCAAAAAGCAAGTTCTGCAGACTCTAGTTTTGTCTTATCTTGATTATTGTCCAGTCGTGTGGTCGAGTGCTGCAGGTAAAGACCCAGTTAAGCTGCAGCTGGCCCAGAACAGAGCGGCACGTATTGCTCTTCATTGTAATAAGAGGGATGATATAAATACTACGCATGCCAGTCTCTCTTGGCTAAGTGTTGAGAGAACGACTCAATCACTTATTTTTATAAGAAACATTAATGTGTTGAAAATCCCAAATTGTTTGCATAGTCAACTTACACACAGCTCTGACACACACTTACCCCACCAGACATGCCACCAGGGGTCTTTTCACAGTCCCCAAATCCAGAACAAATTGAAGAAAGCGTTCAGTATTATATAGAGCCATTATTGCATGGAACTCCGTTCCATCTGATATTGCTCAAATAAATAGCAAACCTGGTTTAAAAAAAACAGATAAAGCAACACCTCATGGCACAACGCCTCTCCCCTATTTGACCTAGATAGTTTGTGTGTATGTATTGACATGTAGGCTACGTGTGCCTTTAAAAAAAAAAAAAAAGTATGTTGTTCTGTCCTTGAGCTGTTCTTGTCTATTAATGTTCTGTATTATGTCATGTTTCGTGTGGACCCCAGGAAGAGTAGCTGCTGCTTTTGCAACAGCTAATGGGGATCCAAATAAAATACCAAAAATATCGAGTCTCATAGCAAAGGGTCTGAATACTTATGTAAATAAGGTATGTGTTTACTTTTCATAAATTCGCCAACATTTAAAAAACCTGTTTTCGCTTTGTCATTATGGGGTATTGTGTGTAGATTGAGTTTTTATTTTAATTTTTTAAAATCCTTTTTAGAATACGGCTGTAACGTAACAAAATGTGGAACAATTCAAGGGGTCTGAATACTTTCCAAATGCACTGTATTATGATTGTTTCATATCTGCAAATTAGTTTAAATGCTGTCAGTTCACGTGTGTATGCATGCGTGAACTCACAACTTGGTGTCGAGGGCCTCCTTCTGCATGATCTCCATGATGGTTCTGCAGGCGTTGGAGCAGCCCTCTGGGGTGGAGTGGACCGTGATGGGCTTCTCTGCCGCTCCCGCATTCTCCTTCCTGTGGATGTCGATCCTGGTGAGGGGCAACAGAGAGAATGATGGCGTTTGAAGGGAAGAATCTTATTCTCACCCCAAAAAAAACAGCTAGAGTGTGCAGAGCCCGTCGTCTAGCGGTTACGCTATTGGCTAGTCTCATACTACTCCCTACTGGAGACCAGGGTTCAATCCCAGCATCCACCCTTTCTACTGGCTTAATCCCACAGAAAACACAGAAGATAGGTGAAACGGTCAAAGTCCATCTTTTTCAACTTGAGATGCCTTGAGAGGGTCACATCAATAGGTAGCCAGAGCCAAAATCTATTGAGTCTGATTATTTATATTGCCAAGCCAAGAAGGGAATCATAAAATTAATTTACATTTATGGACATAAAATCAGGGCCAAGTTCAGTAGCCAAACGTTGTGGAAAGTTGCAGATAGAAATGTATTGAATAGTGCCAACGTAATTTCTAATTCTACATTTAAGAGAGGGGTGTTTGACCTACATGCTTTATTTCTATCTGAATGTTGCACAACGTTGTGTCCTGCTGAATGCACCCCAGCAACCTTTAGGGTGTGTACTGTGTACATGATCAGGGAGGTAGTCCTACTTTGAGTGTGTCTGTTTGGTGATGTTGCGAATGGTGGCTCCCTCCTTGCCGATGATGGCTCCTACAAACTGCGTGGGGACGAGTATGCGCAAGGGGACTTCCGACTGTAGTTTGGGACGCGCCCCCAGGCCCGGAGAACCCGAGCGGGGCGGGCCACGGGGGACAAAGCCCCTCCTACCCCCTCCCAGAGGTGGGGCGTCAGCGGTGGCAGTCTCGTCAGGGATGTACGACACCTTCAGGGCAAAGTTCTCCATCAGGAAGCCATTCAGCTTCTCCATTGCCCTGGCAACCACACAAAGAGACAGCAATCACTCACTGTCACAGCACTGATAATAGAAAGCTTTCGGTCACAGAGAAGGAGAAACTTGCTTGACCCCTCTAGATAATGATGCAAGATCCAAAGACAGTTCACAATTGTATTTTCTCTCTATCCCACTAATGAAACAAGATCTTGATTAAGGCATTACAAGAATCAGGTATATTAGTTCAGGGCTGGAACAAAACCCTGCACACACTTTTGCTCTACACGGCTAGGACTGACTGTTCTGTGAACTGCTCTGAAGGATCCCATTCATTTTCATACACCATCCACGCCCACTTTACCAGGAAAGGCCAGAGCGCCACACATGCACCAGAGGGCAGCAGTGAGCTAGCATCTCTCAGCCAGCATGTTACTCCTATAGCAGCAACTAATTAGAAGTGACTGCTTTAGAGGGTGGAGAGGAGTCAGGTGAACTAACAAATAAAGGGAATCAATTAAAATAGATTCAATACAAATGCAGTGTGGGGAAAGAGTGTAAACCACTCAGACAAATGTAGTCTTTCTGCAAGAGCAGTCAAACTAAGAAAAGGAGGGTAGGTATGTAGGTGTGTGTGTGCACGCGCTTACAGTCTGGCCTGGTCCTTAGCACCGTATCTGACGTTGACCACTGCAGTGTCTGTGTCTGTATTTACTGTGAGGAGAGAGAGAGCATGGACGCAACACCCACAAACACACAAGGCGATACAAGTTTATACACTAAACATGTACTTCAACTGTACAGTCACAGACTTGAACAAAGACCTAATAGAAACATGCTCACACAGACAGCAGATGCAGAAGACAAACAGACATGCTAAGGAGTGTGTATGTGTGTTCGCACGTACGTGTGGTGTGTGCGTTTACATGTGTGCGCGTACCTTGCTCGCAGTTCTCCACTGTGCCATACTGGGCCAACATGCCGTCCAGAACCTGACCCAGAACCACAGGAAAGAGTGTGATTAGAACCAGACCGGAGAGGTGTTAGTGTCTTTTTCACACCATCATGGAGACCCAAACTGCCTTTCTGGTGAGTACAGTTCTGTAAGTAAATAACAAATATGTTTCATTGTCATATACACCGGATAGGTGCAGTGAAATGTGTTGTTTTACACGGTCAGCCATAGTAGTATGGCATCCCTGGAGCAAATTAGGGTTAAGTGCCTTGCTCAAGGGCACATCGGCCGATTTTTCACCTTGTTGGCTGGGGTATTTGATCCAGCGACCTTGCAGTTACTGACCCAACACTCTAAACGCTAGGCTACCTGCCGCTCTTGTCCGAGCCAGAACGGCCCATTGGGCAGGTGCCCATCTCCTGTTTCTTGTCCGAGCCAGAACAGCCCATTGGGCAGGAGCCCATCTCCTGTTTCTGTAGCGTGAGGCAGCTTGATGTACAAGTGGCCAGGAAACAGCAAAGCAATGGACGGCCGTCCTTTCGCCTCTGACCAGAACGTCGGCCGTCAATTTCAGTTCAATTCTACATGTTGAATCACCACCATTCGTCAACACCCAGCAGGTGATCACGAACACAAGCCCTGGGGTGAATTTTTCCCTAGGTACAGATCTAGGATCAGATTCCTCTTCCCCAATCCTAACCTTAACCATTAGTGGGGAAAATACAAAAGTGACCCAAGATCAGTCTAGGCACAACTTCACTCCAACACACCACGGCCACATCCCAATGAACAGCCCATGGGCCCATCATGATAATAAGATCATTTACCAGAGGGTTTTACCTAAAGCCATTTATGGTTAAGGGAAATTCCACTGTAACAGAATGATTGAGAATAAAAAGGAGTGTCAAACAAAATCCAACGATTGCAAAGTTAAACCATACAACCATGCACAAGGACTACCTTTAACAAATTCCACAGAACATTTTACAAAAACATTTACTTAAAGAAATGTGCAGATGCAAAGTTGGGTAACAGGATGGCGGTTTGTTTCATCATTCTGTTACCAAACTTTGCATCTGAACTGTTCAACGCCTGGTATTATGGGTCCTGTGATTCAACTAACTGGCCCTTCAATACCACCCATCAACCAGAGACCTTGGGGACGTATGAATCAAGCGTCTCAGTAAGAGTGTTGATTTAGGATCAGTTTTGCCTTTTAGATCACAATGAATATGATCACATGGACAGGGGGTACCTGATGCTATATCAGCACTACTCCCTCTGAGAGGCAATGTCTTCCTACTTTGGTGAATCACACCATTATATTACATTCTCAAACAGGAGAAAGAACTTCCTAAATTGTGTTCATTAAGTTTTATTTCCCCACATTATCAAGCTGAACAACTGATCTTTATTCCCTTGTGAGTCCATAGAGAAAGTCGGGGGGGAATTGATTTGCTTTTTATTAGGAGAACCAAAATCAATGTCAGAGCCAACCCATTCTGGCAACCTGCCCAAATCTGGCAAGCACAGGATTTGAATTCTACTAGATAAAATGTTCTCCTCTTTCAAGTGCAGTCATCAGGGAGGGAGCGATGGAGAGAAGGATCCAAACGCAGACTACAGGCCGAGGACATCCAATCATGCCCAGGCTTACTGGAAGACACACCCACAAGAGCTCAACCCCCCCTTTGTGACCAATCAACTTCCCTCCAGGTCCTCTTTTTCTCCCAACCCACCAATCCCCTTCCCACCTGCCCCGGAGCCATCTCAAAGTCGTCCCATTGGCTGTTCCCAGCACTGATACAACATTCCATGTGGCGAGTAGCACCTCCATGTTCACTGGCTGCCACGCCTGTCCGTCTCCAGAACCCAGCCAATGAGAATCCAGGGCATTCAGGAAAGGGTGGAGTGCATTCCTGCAGGAAGCGGTGGTTGGATTGGGGGGAGGGGCGGAACAGGAGTAATGCTACACATTCTGTGAGTGTCTGTCCCACCCACTCATAGCGAGCTAGCCTAGCGAACATGCTACCATTGCTCTCTGCCTGCATGGCTTTGTGCTGAGGCACCATGTTATCTTCCTAATAAGATACAAGGTCTCCTTTACATCAAAAACTTTGTTCGGTGTCCCCCCTCCATTCCAACCCTACCACAACCGCAGGTTGACATTTAGTCATGATTCTTGTCCTCGAGGCAGAATTGAGCAATTTCCCCTGAGATAGGACAGCTGCAAAGTCAAAATTGGCTATATTGTATAAATGCATAAACTACTTTTGCTTTTTGGTCTTAATTTAAAGTTTAGGCATTAGGGTTAGCAGTGAGGTTATGGTTAGAATCTGACTATATGACTTTGTGGCTGTGCCAGCTAGTGACCACTATGCAGAGCTGCCTCCAGAACAAGATTCATGACGAAAAAACCTAACCTGCACCATAACCCCCTCTGGTGCAAAGGCCATCAGCTAGCCAACATGCTATATACAGGCTACCAACCACAAAAGCATGGTGTCAATTTAGAACAGAACACTCAAAAAGGGCAGAGAGCCTCAAATCAGTCTTACTTTAGCCTATTCACTGAGTTTAGAATGGAAGAATAACCTTTGTCCATCAACTGTATTCCAATTGGTCAAATTGAGAAATGAAACAGCCCTTTGCTAAAGTAGATTTTGCCCGTGACACAGACCCACTCCATAAAGGGGTTAGGTTAAATGCGGAAGACCCATTTCAGTTGAATGCATTCAGTTGTACAACTGACTAGATATCCCCCTTTCCTTTCCCTTATTTAGATTGCAAGCAGAAAGGATCAAGGATTAAGAGGGAAATACCGGAGATGACTCACTACGAATGTACCGGCTTCTCAGATGATAATTTTTTGCTCTCCAAACAAGACAGTTGACCGCTAGCATCAATCCCATTCTGAAGGCACTATTGCAGGCCATTTTACAATATTACTCCAAATCTGAAAAGTTCCCATGTCTGAGTGTACATTCCTTTTGTTGTTGTAAGTGCCCTAATTTAATGTTGCACACTTCCATCTCCTTCTGCATTCCCATTCATAAACATCCCCTGGCCTCCTTACCTCTTCCCGGTCTAGTGTACTCATGTGGAAGAGGTAGGTTATCGTAAAATTGTACCATAATATTAAATCAATCCTATACATTAAACAATGAGTATGTTCACTGACAGTGTTTTATAATGGTCTCCAAACAATATTTTGGGCTATTCATGCATTTCAGTCATTGATGAACTTTTTATCTGTTGATTTGTGAATGCTGTACATGCCGTCATTGGGTTAGCATGGCTATTCACGTCCCTTTCATTTTAACTTAGCAGAGGAGTTGGCATATACAAAGGGCAGCACAGCATTTGTATGGCCATTTTTCCTGTCATCATCAGGTATGTCATGGGCTGCACTTCACTAGGAGGTCACTGGGCTAAAAGGCAATCCTCTGGAGTTACACAGACCATCACAGCTCCATTGATTACATACATACAGTGCCTTCGGAAAGTATTCAGACACCTTGACTTTTTCCACATTTTGTTAGGTTACAGCCTTATTCAAAAATTTATGAAATTGTTCCCCCCCCCCCCACATCTACACACAATACCCCATAATGACAAAATAAAGGTTTTGCTCAAATCTGAAATATCACATTTATATAAGTATTCAGACCCTTTACTCAGTACTTTCTTGAGGCACCTTTGGTAAAGATTACAGCCTCGAGTCTTCTTGGGTATGACGCTACAAGTTCGTCACACCTGTATTTGGGGAGTTTCTCCCATGCTTCCCTGCAGATCCTCTCAAGCTCTGTCAGGTTGGATGAGGAGCGTTGCTGCACAGCTATTTTCAGGTCTCTCCAGAGATGTTAGATCGGGTTCAAGTCCGGGCTCTGGCTGGGCCCCTCAAGGACATTCAGTGACTTGTCCCGAAGCCACTTCTGCGTTGTCTTGGCTGTGTGCTTAGGGTCGTTGTCCTGTTGGAAGGTGAACTTCACCCTAGTCTGAGGTCCTGAGTGCTCTGGGGCAGGTTTTCATCAAGGATCTCTGTACTTTGCGCCGTTTATCTTTGCCTCGATCCTGACTAGTCTCCTACTCCCTGCCGCTGAAAAACATCCCCACAGCATGATGCTGCCACCACCATGCTTCACTGTAGGGATGGTGCCAGGTTTCCTCCAGACGTGACGCTCGGCATTCAGGCCAAAGAGTAAAATCTTGGTTTCTTCAGACCAAAGAATCTTGTTTCTCATGGTCTGAGGTGCCTTTTGGCAAACTCCAAGCGGGCTGTCATGTGTCTTTTACTGAGGAGCGGCTTCCGTCTGGCCACTCTTCCATAAAGGCCTGATTGGTGGAGTGCTGCAGAGACAGTTGTCCTTCTGGAAGGTTCTCCCATCTCCACAGAGGAACTCTGGAGGCCATCGGGTTCTTGATCACCTCCCTGACCAAGGCCCTTCTCCCCCGACTGCTGCGTTTGGCTGGCCAGCTCTAGGAAGAGTCTTGGTGGTTCCAAACTTCTTCCATTTGAGAATGGAGGCCACAGTGTTCTTGGGGACCTTCAATGCTGCAGAAATGTCTTGGTACCCTTCCCCAGTGCTGTGCCTCAACACAATCCAGTCTTGAAGCTCTACGGACAATTCCTTCAACTTCATGGCTTGGTTTTTGCTCTGAAATGCACTGTCAACTGTGGGACCTTATATAGACAGGTGTGTGCCTTTCCAAATCATGTCCAATCAATTTAATTTACAACAGGTGGACTCCAATCAAGTTGTAGAAACATCCCAAGGATGATCAATGGAAACAGGATGCACCAGAGCTCAACTTCGAGTCTCATAGCAAAGGGTCTGAATACTTATGTAAATAAGGTATCCGTTTAAAAAAAGAAAGAAAATTAGCAAAAATGTCTAAAAACCTGTTTTCGCTTTGTCATTATGGGGTATTGCGTGTAGAGAGGATTTATTTATTTTTTTAATCAATTTTAGAATAAGGCTGTACCGTAACAAAATGTGGAAAAAGTCAAGGGGTCTGAATACTTTCCGAAGGCACTGTATATACCTACATGACAAACAAGTCTGCAGCAATGAAACAGATTTGAGCTTTAATGCCTGTCCTATGCTTGCTTTATGCTGGAACTCACGCACTCCCTTAATGAGTTGTTCTGACCGAAATAGTCCCCCAACATCGACTACTAAATGACTACCTGTACTAATGGTAAACTGTGCTGAAAAAAAATATGAAATGCAACAATTTCAAAGATGTTACTGAGTTACAGTTCATAGAAAGAAATCAGTCAATTGAAATAAATAAATTAGGCCCTAATCTATGTATTTCACGACTGGGCAAAGGCCCACCCACTGGGGAGCCAGGCCCAGCCAATCAGCAAATCAGACAATCCCGCAGGTGAAGGAGCCGGATGTGGAGGTCCTGAGCTGGCGTGGTTACACGTGGTCTGTGGTTGTGAGGCCGGTTGGACGTACTGCCAAATTCTCTAAAACGACGTTGGCGGCAGCTTATGGTAGAGAAATTAACAGATTCTCTGGCAATAGCTCTGTTGGACATTCCTGCAGTCAGCATGCCAATTGCACGCTCCCTCAAAACTTCAGACATGTGGCATTGTGTTGTGTGACACAACTGCACATTTTAGAGTGACCTTTTATTGTCCCCATGGCAGCACAAGGTGCACCTGTGTAATAATCATGCTGTTTAATCAGCTTCTTGATATGCCACACCTGTCTGGTGGATGGATTATCTTGGCAAAGGAGAAATGCTCACTAAAAGGGATGTAAACAAATTTGTGCACAAAATTTGAGAGAAATACGCTTTTTGTGTGTATTAAATTTTTTCATTTCAGCACATAAAACCAACACTTTAGATGTTTATATTTTTGTTCAGTATAATTATGTGTGTCCTAAATGGCACCCTAAGGGCCCTGGTCAAAAGTAGTACACTATAAAGGGAAGTGTGCCATTTGGGACACAACCTAACTGTAAAGTACCGTACTGAGACAGCCAGGAGAAAATTGAGACCTGCAATATCAGCCTCTGTTCTAAAGAACTAACGAGTGGATCCAGAACTAAAAATTGACCCAAAGATGGCAAAGAACCTGTTCAGTGTACTTGTTTGCACCCAGTAAAAAGGCTTACTTTGACTTTGTTTCAAATGATTTTTTAACATTTGTTCCTATTGAACAGGACCCAGTATAGCTAGATAGATCCAAAGCTTTACCAACGGACCAATTAACACTTACCTCCCACTGCATATGAGGCGGAATGTTCCTGATCTGCAGCTTACAGCTCCTACGAGAGGGAGAGAAAGAGGGAGATAAAGCGAGACAGTTAGCGTCAGTGGTTGGTTAGGCTAAAGGACAAGGTGTCCCATTCTAAAAACACAGCAGGCTAGTAGGTGCCTCCTTCCATCATCCCATGCTCTGTGAGAGGAGAGGTGTACAAGCTGTGGGCATGACTAATGTTTAATACCACTCCCAAAACCAGCGGGTGTGCACCAGAGGGAGGGAGGGATGGATGGAGGGAGAATAAAAGGGAGGGAAGCGGTTGCATTGTTGGACGGGTGGCTCGATGCGGAGAAAATGTTAAAACAAGATCATCCCATTAAAATATGAGACGGATTGGGAGAGAGGGAGCGCATGGCAAGGAGAGGTAGTGAGAGAGAGAGAGGGAGCGCATGGCAAGGAGAGGTAGTGAGAGAGAGAGGGAGCGCAAGGCAAGGAGAGGTAGCGAGAGAGAGAGAGGGAGCGCATGGCAAGGAGAGGTAGCGAGAGAAAGAGAGAGGGAGCACATGGCAAGGAGAGGTAGTGAGGGAGAGGAGGAAGGTAAAGGAAAAAGGAAGAGACAGGAAGGGGGCCAGAAAAGAAAGGGAGGAAGAGCATGGAGGAGAGAGGAGCAGAAAGGAAAGGTGGATAGGAGGACAGAGAGAGAAGAGAGAAAAGGTGAAAGGCAGAGGAGAGCATAAAGGAGGAGAGTGAGCGAGGGAGCACAGAAAAAGGAGGGATGCCAAGCCCAGGGAAGAGGGAACCTCTCCTAGCGGTATCAGAACAGATGGGGATTCAGAATGGAAGGAGCGCTGACATCGCAGGCAACAGGAGCACAGCACTGAGCAGCGCAGAACAGACTCTCTCCTACCAATTACCGCACTGTAAAACTCTGGTTAAGGGTGCAGCCAAACTGGCCTGTTGATTGTATCCGAATTTCCTATGCTTTCTCAATGGGAGTCATACGTTGACGGTCCATATCCATACAATTTCCATCCACGGACAAAAAGATCAGATGAGCTTAACTTTTGACGGGCCAATGGATACGGTAGCCAATTAGAAAAAGAGAAGCACACACATGGACCGAAATTAATCCATTCTAATTTGGTGTCCGTTCTCCAGAGATCAGTCTGGCCAAAGCCTTAGCATCCAGAATGCCCTGTATTTCAACTCCATACAGCCAATTGTTTTCACATTTTGAATACTTTCAGTTCCACAATGAAACACTGTGAATACCAAGGACCCAAATATTTAAGAGCTCATTCAGATGCTTGGTTGGACTTGTGAATCGTAACGAGTCTGTGGACATACACACTTCAAGACTAATTTTGTGCACTTGTGACATGTTCCATAAAAGTGTTTGTTTAGACCCGGGAGATTATATAAATGTGGGAAAAGTGGACAGGCTGCTCCAAAGTCCACACACACAATGTACATGCAGCTGGGACTTCTAGCACAAACTGTGACCCGTACACACACCGACCCAGTTCCACACAGACGTACAAACACCCACACGGCATATGCCGAACGTACTCCCAACATAAACCTAACACTTACAATGTTACCGGAAACTTCTCCCACAAACATCTACATGAGAGATAAGCTACATCACAAAACACAACTAACCCCTTACACTAGGACCAGTCAGTGACTAAAAGCACAATTTTGACCAGGAAATTAAGACTTGGGATGATTTAACAGGAAATGTCAGAGACCTTTTGTCTTGTGGTCGCCTGATGAAGACTTCTGTTGAAGTGGAAACGTTGTGTTTTGGGGGTCAGGACTAAAGCATTGTGGAGCAGCAATATTCCTTGTGCAGGCCTCATTCCTTTATCAGTGTAATTGTTCCCCCAGCACCAGTATTCTCAAGTTTAGGATGTGCAGATCACCCTCTTGTTCAATAGACTATACATTTGAAATACGATTAATTTACATTCAAATTGAACACACGCTTCTCCAACTCCTAGAGTTGAAAATTAACTGGCAGCTATTTTTAAGTTGTGCAAGTCAATGGCCTTTTCTCAATTAGATTCGCTCAACTCCTGCGTCCTACCCTCAGTCCTCTCTGGCCTCCTTTTGAAAAAGGTCAAAGGTAATGGAGGAGGGGGAAAGTGGACAAAAATGCGCTTGTACGAAATTACTCCTCCAAATCGCACCTCATCAGGCAAAAGACGTGTATAGGGTGGAATCCCAAAATAAATGTATTTAAGTGATATTAAGTGATAAAAACTAATTTAGCTAGTTGTGCAAGACATATTATAGATAAAAGGATAGTAGCATATCGTTTTTAAAGTTTGCATGCTTTTCTCCTTCGAGTAAACGTCTGATTCAAATGGGGTGTGGCAGATAATACAATTCTTCCACAAAGGATTTGGGTAAGACACACTTGTGCTTTCTAGCCACATGGAGGCTATAGAGGGGAGGGCCGTCTTCTGTTTGCCTACTTACGAATTTACACTCTCCTCGACCACTTATCGGTTTCCGGATCACAGAGGACGAGGAGAGAGGGTGAAGGACGGACTTTTGCCCAAAAGAGAAGAGGCCAATGAGTGAGTCAAGCGTTTGAGTTTTTACGAACAGGCTGGTTGGTCTCCTCTGGTCCCAGAGAGCATCCTTAAATATGTTTTTCTCAGTCCACCACACACGCGGACAGGGCCCAGCTCACATCAAGGCCAGCAACACACAAGTCGCTCATTCTGTACACATGACCCAGAGAGAAAGCACGCTTAACAATGGAGCATATTTAAAAATGTTTGATACCTCAAACACACAGAAATCTCCATCTGCAGGCTAGAAGGTTGGATAACTTCCTTGCATGCAGCACTAGGCTGCAGTCAAAACACATAGTATGGGAAGGTTCAATGACGTTTACACATTCTTTAACACGCACACTCGATCTGGAGGACCTTTCAACATGGTCACGACATCAGGGCCAAATGAATTTTATTCATTTATTTGGACCATAAAGAAATTAATATATTCTAAAATGGTGAATAAAATAAATCCCAAAGAGCTTCCGAGAGGAATTCCAGCCCTTTCCGGTCTACTGTGCCATTCCCGGCAGATCCGGCCCCCTTTTTCCCTGTGTGCTTTGCTCTGCATTGCAGTGGGAACACCGTGCGAAATGTGCAAATGCACCAAGCACTTCCAGCCAGATTAACCTATAGCTCCACACATGGAGGAAGTCAGCCAGGGTATGGGGAAAGGGGGGGGTGCATTCCCCAGTCCCAGCCTTAGATTTAGGAAAGGAGGGTGGGGTGGGTGGGGTTGTAGGAGAGGTAGCCCTGTTACAGGGAAGGGTAACAAGGGCCCTCTCTGCCCTGTGGGGGTGGGGCTCCTGTTGCCATGGACACGAAGTCCACTGACAGAAATACGGAGGGGGGAGGGGATAAGGGAGGGGGACCGTGAGGGCTGGTCACGTGACGACACAGGAGGCCAAGGTTCCTTATTTACTTTTAAATTCAACTAACATTCTACACATTCAACGGCACTGCCCCCCTCCGACAGACCGCGGCCCAGCTGAGATCTATGGGCCTCTGCGCCACCGTAGAGTGTGTGTAAAGCCCATACGAGGAATCCCATGTCGAGCAACATGACTGAACCACATCCATGCTCATCCACGTCACCCACCACACATCTTATCATACATACAATACTCAGAAACATCGGCGTCCAGACTAAAAAAACATCCATGTCAGCACACACTCCCAGGTCTGTGCTCAACACCCATCCATCCACACACATTGACTATTCAGTATGCAGGGGTTCTGAATGACTGAACTCAAAACTGCTCACTTTCCGCTGCAATCTTATATAGAGCCTTACAGAGTCCATTCTGCAGCAAAAATTGCTAAAATTTATAGTTTGATAGCTAAAAATGTGCTAAATTGTTTCGCGCCAGACATTTACAAATTTAAATCTGTGAAGTCTTACACACTTAAAAAAGCTAACAGCTTAATCTCCCTGCAGCATGCTATGCAATGGTTCTCTAGCAAAATAAGTCCACACTATCACAGTGTTTCTCACTCCGTGATAAGCATGAGCGAGTTTAGAGACCTCTAGTCCCGCAAGCTAAATGGGACAAGGGGCCACATTGAGAATTTCGGGCACCCCCGTGCTTCCGTCCAAAATCCCTTCTTTGCAGGTTAGGCCCCACTGACCCCCTGACCCCAAATTCTTTAATAAGAGCTGGGAGGTACTTCTCCTCACAAAGCCACAGTTACTGGGTTAGAATGGCCATGGAAGCAAGCTTTGCTTTTACTATTAGGAGTTTTTTGGGGCTGTTAAAAGGAATAGAGCAATGGGTGTATTTTTAGTTTAAATGACGATGTTTAGGATTTCTTGACCCCCCTCCCCGTTTGATGAGGAGAATATTGCACACAAAAAATCTACATCTTTGCAATTTTAAAACGTGTGAGAAAGTTACTGTGCCAAATAGTACAACTTCCGATTTTTTGTCTGGTGTAAAAAGTCCCAAGACTAATAGTAAACTAGGTTCAAGTTGAACCATCTTCACAAGCCAGACTAGGAGTTCAAATTCAAAAACCCTGATTCATCAAGTACACATTTACACAGCAGCTTACTACACGGCCCTCGACCTGCCTGATCGAACTTTAGAGAGTGCTCACATACAAAATTACACAGATTGGCACACTTGGACCACCTCTTATACAGACGGGGGGAGTTTATTTCAAGTTAACTCAAACGACTATAGCTTTAAATCAGAGGTCACAGTGTAACAACAAGTTATAGGGGTTTCTGTGTGTCCTACTGACACTCACTAGTGCAGCTAATAGGGCATAAGAGTTAAACATGAAGATTCAATAATAAAACAAACAAAATTAGTGCGCAAACTATAAGTACCCAAAATACACCTATACCCAACATGTCGCAGGGCCGAGAATAATTATTCCCTTTTCAACTCTTGCAACCCCTCATGATCAAACTACTGTTATTACAATATGTAGGCCAAAGATGACTGCAGAAGTAGGACTATAAGGCAAATGGCACCAAAACCTAGCCTTCTGCCTCCATCGGCACACCACCCCCACTCTCTCCTGCTCTCATCCCACCCTGGAACCCTGTGGAGGACTCTGGGAGCCTCTGCCTCCCTGCTCACGCTTCCCCTTCCCCACCAGTTCAAAGGTTAAGTCGTGGTGATTGGCCGAGCCTCCAGCTGATACTCAGCAGGCTGGAATGCAAAGACGGGCCCCAGTGGACACCACTGTGTGTAATGGGCTGGATACTGTTCCCAGTTGCGCCTATAACCTTTCCTTTGGCAAAAGGGGGCCATCACCTTAAAGTTTTTCACCCTCTCCTTTTTTTGTAGGTTGAGGTTTACACTTCACTATAAGGCCTACTACTAAAATCGCCAGTGTGTGTGTAAACCTACACATGTCAAATAATAATCATTTAGCAAAAAATACCTAGCACCACTTTGGTAGGAGAAAGGTCCACAAATTGACCAGAGTGATTTGACATTTTAAAAATACCTCCATGATTCCATGCCAATAACGAGCGCGCTAAAAGCAGTCAATGCATTCAGGTGAAGGCCCTTGCCGAACGTCATTAGACCTAACCTCGACAATTCAATGCATGGCCATTTCAAAGTATGCAAATAAATATGTCCACTATAATAAATTCTAGAATGTAAAATATGTTCACGCCATTTTGTGCAGAACGTCAATAAAACCGATTATTTGATTTATTAGGCCTAAATGGTCGTATTGGCAATTATAAAAATCATAATTCAGTCAAACTTCACTTCCAAGATTAATTTTGAAACGTGGTGATCACATGCCTTCATTCTAATTCCATACCAACCTAGCAGTAGCCTTCATGCACTGCATGTAGCCCACTAACTAATTAAAAAACATAATCATTTATAACACATTGAAGTGCAATTTGGCTCCAAATCCTCTTCCTCCAAATCATTACACAAATTGAATTACTAATTTCAAATGATCGCAATTAAAAGCCAAGAAGTTTAATAATGGCCAAAATGTGTAAAGTGGCGGAAATCCTTCACGCCAAGCCGAATTGTTGCATTTGTTGTCCCGCTTCCACGTAAATGAGGATCAATATAGCCTCAGACTAAATGCTATAACTCAGTACAGTATAATCCGGTTGGCTGTGTACATGGAGCTACATGTTTTTTAGCAGACCGGGGTTTTTCCGTGACTAGGACCCAAACCGCCCATTCCAATCGCGTTTGGGAGTCCATCTCGTGCACAACCACAATGAACGAGGAGAGGAGGGCGGAAGCGTGGGGCAGGCAGGGAGAATGACGGGTAGATCCTCCTCAAATGGACGACTTCAGAGTGCCTTCCCCTCAACACACACACATCCATACATGCACACACACTTAAGCAGGCCCAGTAGGCCATTGCTGCATAAATAGCCCTACAACACTGAAGATTTGCACTAAACAGCCTAACCTCTTCCACAGATGGGTATGGTGTGTAAAATACGAGGGTACATCATTATTATTATTATTAAAGTTGCATAATTTTAGGCGCCATAGGCGTGACGAGGTGACATCCCTCATGCCCTTATAACGCAACCCCTACACAATCAGCATATTAATTTCTGCTTTTTCCACAAAAGAACAGACATTACGCCCCTTCACTTCCTGCTGACTACACAATCACAAGACACAATCAGACGACTTCAATCAAATAACGTTAACATGTTTCCATAAAAGGGTCATGGAAATATGTACAATTTGGAGGACAGCAGCAGCCATTGGCAGTATAAATTAACTACTTGGACAATATAGGAGATTATAATCAGAATTTACCTTTGACGTTTAGGGACCGAGTGCTCCACTTCTAGGAGTTTCCCATGTAGTTCAACTTTACCTATAGTGAGGAGAATAAAAGCAATTTTAGTTCACAATTAGTTTAGTGCTCTTCAACTGTTCTCACAGGCAGCCAAAAGTAGGCCTCAACTACCCTAGTTTATGACCAAAATGGCCTTGCACGAAATTACTTTCAATGCAATCCGTAGCACAATTGTATGACCATTAAAATTACAAAATGTTCACTAAATTAATAGCCAACGTGAATGCCAATTCTAAAAGGTTAACTACGGTAACTGTGATAAGTCCACGACACCTGAGCTAAATACGATAACATTTCGTAAAATTGTATATTTATTTCTAGATTGTGGCCTGCAGAATGCCACTTTTTCCTCCCACATTTCGTACAGTTGTAGTTTTTAAATTTTAAATAAAAAGTAGTTTGGCAAAAGTCTTACATTTCGTTGGCCTACATTTTACCAATACACAATGAAGCCACCTTGTGTGTCAGTATACGCAAATGCACTGTTGTGTGCTACAATTTAACAACTTAGGCCATACTTCCATTGTTACTTTATTACTTGGTTGGTCACCGGAGAGCGTGCAAGTTCAAAGGCGGCAACAAACGTTATATTTAGTTAATTTAATCGAAGTGATCCATGTTACACACAAGCCTACAATGAGCGCCCACTGCCTGTGCGCCCCATTGCTCTGAATGGCGCTACAATGGATAGGCGTTCTCTTCCCTCCTTCGTTCTGAAACAAATTTCTTCTCCATTTTTGTACTAGATTCAATTAGTGTTAACACTTTGAATTAATCAAAGACATGGACTTTCCTTATACGGTGTCAGGGGCCAAGTGAGAGGCAAGACCAGACTGAATACACACCCATCATATTGGGCTCCATGCATCCATCTAAAGAGGTTAAAGTAAACCCGTAGCAATTTCCATAATTAAAGTACCCTTTACCCAACGCTCGAACGCCTTTATCGTTTTTTTTTGTCTCACCTGAAAGTATGTCGATGGCCTTCATTGCAATCTTTTCATCGGGGCAATCCACGAACGCATAACCAGTTTTGACGAGAAACGGACCACTGTGTGGAATCTTCCACTGCTCAAAGATAGTTTCCAAGTCCTCCGCACTCGCCTCTTCACTCACGTTTCCAATGTACAGCTTATTCATGTTCTGCGCTGAAATTGACAACCTTTACGCAGAAGGTTAACCGTTATTTACTCTCTCGGGTGTGCAGTGTTTGGAGTCGCCAAAATCGCCTTACTACTAAACGGAGTGGCGGTGGCGTGCTTCCCCCGGTCGTTCGAGCCACAGATATATTTGACGGGCTACCTCGTCCGTGTTTGCGCTCCCTCGCCCCTCTATTGCGCACAAAAAATAAATTCGTAATTATTTATTACGTCTCTCCAAAACGATGGCGGGCTGGATGAAAAAGGGATAAACTACTTTTTTGTCTTCATCCAAACCCCTTGGCCTAGAGAATGTCACACGTTAAGGTTCGCACCCGCCTCTGAATAAAAACAAGAAAAAGAACGGGCAAAGGAAGCAAAAAAACTCGGATATTCCGGCTATTTTGAATGAGCCACGTGTTCAAACTACAAATCAACCCCGCACGTGAGGAATCCCAGTTGCTCAATTAAGTGTTGGATTGGAAAAATGTCACGGGAATCCGGGGTGGGGACCATGGAGACGGAAGTCAAAAGAAAAGGAGGGGAAGAGTGGATTGGTTTTGGGGGAAAACCTGGCGAGCTACGTGCGTTTAGGGATTCCGTGAGAACCCAGTGTATCTTTTACTAGAATCACATTTGTGTGTCTTTCTCTACAAACCCTCGCTTCCCATTGGTCGCTGGTCGAAATAGTAAAACGGCAGTGCACTCACGCACGCCCATAGAAGGGGAACAGCAATGTTGCGGGGGGTTGCGCGCACGCATGTGAGCTTGCGGTGGGTGTAGGCCTACTATATGGAACAAGTATGGTGGGAGAGGGAGAGGGAGAGGGGAGAGGTGCCATTCATAAATTATATCGCACGATGTTGTTACAATGTATGCATGTGAAACACATTGGATAGGATTGAATCAATGAAAGTCTAGAATGCCTCAACCCCTACTAGGCCCATGGCCCGGTCAACATGGGAATGACACGTTTACTACCATCCACATGACGGCATCCATCTTCTCTACCAAGGTTGAGGTGGTTCCCTGCTCTACAATACAGTAACATGCCAGATTTGTCCATGTAAACACGAAATGGCAGAGAGGGGAATAAGGTGTCTGGGGCAAGATTGCTTGTTCGTCTTCGAAAACACTTATCTGGAGAAGAAACCTATAGAAGAACCAGAAATATTTTGAGCTTGCTACTACCAAGATGGTGGATAAATGAAGCTAGTTCATTCAGGCTTTTTACCATATAATTTTTTTTTCAGTTCCGGTATACTTAACTGGGTGTGTCTCCCATAGACACCAATGCAATAGCAGCTGGGTCTGGTATACTTAGTTCATTGACCTTCATTGAACCAGAAAAAAAAACAGTGAGTGGGTGTCTTGCTTCCTCTTCCGTCTCTGCTAATACTGCATATTGTGAACCTGTTACTACATTTATGGCGAGGGTATGTAGGCAAAGATGACCTATTATATTGACAAGATAGTAGAGTGACCGCTCTAACAATGGAAATACATGTGCTCAATGATTGAAGGCAGGCAAGATCAGGTGGGACCATTCTAGCCAATGAGAGGGCAGATACACCCGTGAACAAAAGGCACAACTAAGTTGTTTTTCTTAAAGTTGCTAGAATGCCACGTGCGTCCACTTATATCAGTACATTTGTAACAGCCTAAACATTACGAAACTTCTATTCGATCAAATAAGCCTCACGTAATTCGACACTCTCTCATAGACCTCCATACAAAAAGGGGCTTATCGCAGGCGGACAGATTTTAGGAGGAGTAAATCCTCTCGCTTCGCCTCTTCCTCTCTGATATAGGCTAAGTACAGAAAGGGAGGGGTCTCTTCATACAGAGAAGTGACCCTACCGAACTGGCGACAAATGTAACAAGCAAGCAAGTTTCAATCAAATGTAGCCTGGCTTGGCCTAGTACATGTCTTCAGACAATTACACTTGTTGATATGTATTTAGTGTAAAATTATTGTAGTTTCGGGTAGATGCAGTTCACAACGCAAGTTCAAACATGGACTTTCATTCCAAAGTAGTCTTACAAAATGTATTATGCTACATTTAGCATAGCCTATGCATGGTCTCAGCCCGTTATCCATTCTGATAGGCCATACTTCCATTGCTACTTTGTTACTTCATTGGTCCCCGGAGAGCGTGCAAGTTCAAAGGCGCCAACAAAAGTAGCAATACAACAGAGTTATTTAGTTAAGTTAATTTAATTTAATCGAAGTGATCCATGTTACACACAAGCCTACAATGAGCGGCCACTGCCTGTGTGCCCCATTGCTCTTAATGGCGTTACAATGGATAGGTGTTCTCTTCCTTCCTGAAAACGTTCTGAAACAAGTTTCTTCTCCATTTTTGTACTAGATTCAATTAGTGTTAACATTAATCAAACGCATGGACTTGACTTTTATGGTGAAAATAAAAAAGGTTTTCGGGTTTAGAAATTTGGAGGGAATAATAGAATGAAAGTGTAATCCATAAAATGTAATTCGAAACGCATGCATGGCTACTGTTGAATAGTATTTTACGCACACATACCAGAGCAGGATAGTCCATAATTTAGCCAGTATCTATACCATTTGTGTGTGCATATCGTTTATTCAACTTTTAAATCGTGTGTAGCCATTGTCATGGCATACTGCTAAAATGCCTTCTTCAAATGTGTAACTGCAGGAAAAGTTAGTCACTTGGTTCTAGAAAACATAACAACAATTGAGTTTTATGGACATGTTCATGTTAGAAAAAAGGAAATAAGCTGGTATTGTCAAAGCCTAAAATGGTAGGCCCTCTGCTATGGCACTGGCAGCACTTTAAATTGACGTACTGTGTGTTGGCCAAACATAGAGTGCTCTCCTATTGGTTGGAAAGACTGACCAATCAGAGAGCTCATTCTCGCTCCCCACTACTCTCGCTGGCTCGAACTCAGCGTGTTCATTCATTGGCTCTTCTGTACTGCTGTTCTATATGAATCAGCGCGCGAAAAAAATTAGTTTTTTCACTGTTTATGAATAAAGGTAATAACACGTTCCTAATCTAACGAAATAATTAAGATGCGACTAGATGCATGTTAGGCTACTCCACAAGAGCAGTCCCATTATATGTGTTGTTCAAATTAGTTAAAGTTGGAGATGGAAATTATCTTATAAATACAAAATAAAAAAAGAGAATTACAAGAAGGTAAATTAGATGGTTTCAAACACCTCTATGTCTGCTTCGCAAATTCACCTGTAATGTATTAAATGGTGAAAATAAGGATGTGTCATCTTTTCATCAACATAAAACCATACTTTCCTTTCAACAATCAATAAACAACTGTGTAATTAATTCGTTTTAGTTCAATAGTCAAGCCTATTCCTTCAATAAACCCGCACAATTGAGTCGATTTATTCAATGAGCCCAACTCTAATTCCATCTGTTGTGAAATAACAAAATGTTTATATGATACTGTTTTCTGGAAATGTGAAATATGCTATGTGTTCATATAGATAAAATATTGGACTGTCAGTGTGACTTAGATTCTACACTTTGTTTACAATGTGCGCAATCCTTCTCTTGGTTACGATTCCAGGCTTGTACAAGGCGCTAAGGAACTGCAAAGTGGTGAATATATCAGTGAAGAATGTACAGAAAAAGTCCCCGCCCCCATTCTTTGGAGGAAAATTTGGTATGGCTTTATTCCTTAGGGGTAAACAGGCTTACATAAAGAAATATTCATATACCCAAGACTGCGTCTTGTGTGGAATGATTTGAGATTTTTAAGAATGGAAAGCACACGGGAAACATCGGTGAGATTGTAATACCAAATACTATGATATTTCTTTCCATAATGAAGCAATGTTTAAGTTTAAACAATAGGCTATGTATTGATGTGTCGTGTTGTGGGGGAACAATGCCTCATTCGTTCCCGTCATTCAGTGAAGTAGGGGAACCGTTTTGGGTGAGATCCCTTTATCTATTTATTTATTTATTTATACTTCAGTCGAATATCTCGAATCATCTCTTGTTAGTCTCAATGCATTCCATTGGCTGACTGCTTGATCTAGAATGTATGGGGCATTCTTGTAGTGAACGCCATGTTGTAGTGAATGTTGAAAAAACGTGTGAGAACTTTTCTCCAACGATTTTTATAATCGATATGATATGGATAAATAACTTATTTCGACCGACATCCATAGATTATTCTTAAATTGCATGAAATGTGCCTTACATTTTTTTGTTTTTTTCGAGTTGGATTGGTATTTTCCCCTGTGAGGTCACCCTATAGACTTTCACTAATATATTGTGCACAGAAAATGGCGGTGTTCTGCCTAGGTCTACTTCAATAATCATTCTAAAAAGAATGTATATTATTGGTAATGAAAGGTTCTAAGTGAATGACAAAATGAAATGAATGAACATTTAAGTTCAAAACACTGTTTGTGCCCGTTATATAGTTCTTTATAAAAAAAAAAGATGTTGAAGACAGTTTTTTAAGTGCTTCGCTTTGGATTCTATCCATTCAAATTGTTGTTCAATACCCTTTTTTCCAGTCTGGATCTAGGCCTATTTTATGTGAATGTAAGTGTGATCTATTCAATTAGTGAAGCATAGTATTGCTGGTGAAGATGTTCACCGATATTTATTGTAATACATTTACAAATAGCTTAGGAAATGTGACTTTTAGGAATGTTATAAGAATTAAATATTTGTTTGAAAACAGCAATTAACTTGTTGTCAGAAACCTGTCCAGAAAATACACTACTGGTCAAAAGGTTTAGAACACCTTCTCATTCAAGGGTTTTTCTTTATTTTTACTATTTTCTAAATTGTAGAATAATAGTGAAAACAACAAAACTATGAAATAACACATATAGAGTCATGGAGTAACCAAAAAAGTGTTAAACAAATCAAAATATGTTTTATATTTGAGATTCTTCAAATAGCCACCCTTTGGCTTTATTGAAAGCTTTTCACATTCTTGGCCTTCTCTCAACTAGCTTCATGAGGTAGTCAC